GCTGCGCGCGGGGTCCGGGACGTCGGCAGGCGGCGACCGAACCGCCGTCGCCTTCGCTCGTGGGCCCGGTGGTTCACGTACGCTCGCGGGGCTCCCTTTTATGTAACTAAGGTGCGATTTTTATCGCCGTGATGTGAGGTGACATCCCGATCCTGGAATTTAATCCCCGAAAATCTCTTCGGAGAAAATGCAGAACGAGAAAGAATCCGGTAGACTTAACGATTTCTGAGCAAGCTAGAGAAGGGAATAGATAGTTTTTCTTCGGGAGGTGCTGAAAAAGTGTTCATTTCCTCCTGTGGAAAGTCGTCGGCGAAGCCCATTTTGTATCTTGGAACCTCCCTGCCAAGTGTGCCCAGTGTCGTGTCCGTGACTAGACGCTGTCACTCGAGCTCTGCACGGCGTGTGATGGACGGCGCCTTCGCGGCTCCATCACCGCTGCGCCCCTCCTTGCAGACTTGAATCTAATAAACTCATCAAAATAAAAGCCCTGTGTTCTGTTTTGTGCGTTAGGGATAATGATGATGATGATGATGTGATTGCTTTAGCGTAAAACAATCTGGGGAAAACTATTTGTTATGTCTTCAGTACAGAAGAATGAAATCAGGAATATTAAAAACATGTTGGTGGGGGCCGTAATATGCATAGAGAAACTTCATCCTTATACAATAATTTAAGTGATTTAAGACCGTGTTGCTGGTTGGCTACCACTTAGAATGAAGAAAATGTTCCGAAATGTTTTTCGTTTAGGACTACAGTTACATGTATTTCATGTAATTTGACAGTTTAATATAACCCAAAAGAACAGAAGGGGCTAAATCCCCCTTTCCAGGCTGGCTGGTTTGTCACGGATTTTGTGCCAATTTTAATTGCCAAGTTGAGATTGGGCTCCAATTGTGGAATTGATTTCTTTTTCACGCTGAAAGTTATCTTCACAGGCCAGTTGCCTGCTGGTAATGTACTCTTATCAGCCTATACTGACAAAAGAGAAACCACATCTTAGCTTATTTGACTGCCAGAATAGCCAGCACAAACGCTTAATGATTTTTTCATATAAAAGTTATAAGCTATATTTGTTTCAGACTTTTTGCAAAAATTTTATGATGTGTAGGTCAGGTGCACTTTGTCCTTTTTTAGTATGTAAGACTCAGCATTGCCTTACCTTTCTTCTCTTATCTGGCCTGGTTTTTATAGCTGATAAAGACTATACACAGCTCAAAATCGGTTGTATGTGCCCTAGCCATGACTTGTGAGGAAAATATAATCTCTTGACTGATCTAATTTCTTGAAGTTTTCACACAATTACTTTACAACCTGAGCATTAGTTTTTTCCTTTTTTTTTTTTTTACAAGCATGTACTATTAGTTTTACAGTTATTTTTAACAAAGAAGCTACATTGTATTTCGATTTCTAGAAGTAATAATTTTGAGTAGATAATATTTATTTGGGAAAATTAGTTGGAGACAACAGGTTTAGAAAAGGAAGACACTTGGAAGTAATCCTTAGGGAGAACCTGTAGCAGAATGGAAAGCCGTGGATCTGGAACTCAGGATACAAGAGTTTTAACCCATTTCCCATTTAGGAAAAAAAAAGTGCAGCTTGCTGCCAGCGTTAATTTAATTTTACAAGCATGTGCTAACACGTTGTTTGAGGTTGAAGCAAATCTGACTGGTTTTCAGTGTGAAAATATAATACAAAAACTGTTCTTGAAGTTATTTCTAAACAGAACTTGTCTCTAATCCTAATGTAATAAATGTGTACATAAATTGGACTCACCAAATTAATCTTTGGCTAACAACTGTTTGAGAGTGATGTTAACATCACATAGGAATGCTACGTTTTCTAGAATTTGACATTTTCAGCGATTAAGAATTACTATATTTCGTAAATGGAAATACCACTACTAACAACAATGGTATAAATAGAATGACATTGTTTCCAAGGACTATCGATATACTAGAGTGAAACGAAAATAATAAAACGAGCTATTTCATGGCAGACTTTGGGGATAAGGTTAAGACTGTAATCTGCGAGTTGCTGCGGGTGCCTGCAAGTATTCTTGGGGCAAATGGTAAATGGCTTAATCTCTTCTGCTTTAGGGCAAGTCACTCAACTTCTCTGAACCACAGCTATTATATATAGGAAATGTTTTTATTTTTGTACCTGATTATAAAAATAGTTATATGCTTCAGAAAAATTGGAAGTATGGAAAAGAAAGCATAGTTACCTGCCATACACCCGCAGCAAAGCCTGTTAACAATTTGCTTTCTTTTTTCCTAGTTCTTTTCTCTTACACATTTTAATGTAATTGAGATTATTTTGTGCATAATAATTTTTATTTGGCTTTAACTCAACATTATAGCTTAAATATCTTCACATATTATTACATTTTGAATAAAAGCATTTAAAGGCTGCACATTTCCTTAACTGACTTAACTCTTGTCCTATTGGACTTTTAGAGTTTTTCTCAAATTTTGCTTATGTATATAGGGCTGACATTCATGCTTTGGGGCACAAATATTTGTTCACATTTGGACTGTTTATCTAGCATAGAGTCCAAGAAGTTAAGTATGGAAACTTTTAAAGCTCCCGATATAAATGAATTTTTATTAGATCATTTGACTTTAATTATTTTTATATAGCCTGCCAGTTGCTATGTAAAAAAGAGCCTGGGAGTTATGAAAGACTATCCTGAATTAACAGTTATACTTTTTTAGTTTGATTTATAGTAACTAAATAGTATTAATGTAGGGGAGAATTTGCAAGTTCAAATCCAGCTGAGCAAATATAAAGCTTTTTAGAATTATCTTGCCCAAACCATTCTGCAAAAGATCATCTGTTGAGGCAAAAATCTTAAGACTAAACTGGATACCTTGTTCATGCTTATAAATTGTTTTGAAAATCAAAAACAAAATGAAACTTCCTAATTAGTATGAACAGGTATGATCTTTTAAAAAAATTGATTTTATGTGTAGATAAATACCAGTGATTCATCCATGCTAGTACTTTGAAGACAAACTCTAATCTCAAATGGAGGCATTTTTCTTTGGCATAATATGAAATACTCATAGATTAAGATTATGACACATACATTTCTCCCTCCCCCATTTTAACATCTCTGTTAATGCAGATGTCTCTTACAGTTGATGGTGTTTTACTTGTAATTGCCTGCAAATATACACACTTGGTTTTCTCCTAGTGGCATGACTAACCAAGTGCAAAGTCAATGTTCAGCTAGTCAATCAATTTAACAACCACTTGAAGGATTATCAGTCCTGACCTGGTGAAATGAAGTAAGTGCCACCATCAAAACTTGCTAAATGGGTATTCAGTAGCAGTGGTTTGTAAGAAAATATTGGGGATAAAAGTGGAGTTCTTCTAAGAAATATTTGTCACCTCAATGCACAGAATAATATTGGATGAGAAAACATGGAGATTGATGACTCTTGGGTCAAAAAGTAACACAAGAGTTGAACTCTGAAGAAATTCGGGGATGTTAAATTTCTGCTGCTTGTGTTTTCCTTTTTTATACATATATGAGTGTTATACATAAAATTCTGTCTAAAGGTCTGTTAACATAATGTAAAAATTTCAAGACATAAGAAAACTTTAAATCATAGCTTCATTGCCAGCATAGTTTTGTTTTGTTTTGTTTTAGTAGTATATAAAAATGGTGCCATCATAGATTCAGTGAAATGGTACCATATTGATTGTATTTTTGTAAGCTGCTAACATCAGTCATTATTATAGTGTTAAACTTGATATTATTGGTTTTAAACCTTTTTTGGTCTAAGATCTTTTTAATTTAATTCTACTACAGGTTTTTGCATAAGTGTAATCCTTGAATTAGAATAAAAATTTGGGGGTAGGAAAAAAACTTAAGTGGCAGATTTTTCTTAAAAAAGGCATATTAGCCAAACAAGATTTCTTGATGCTTTCTTTTTCACGTCTTAAAATAACACTTTGGGGAATAGGAGTGGGGCACTAGAGCTAAACAATAAAAAGATTCTATCAGATCTAAATAAATCTCTGGGGCATGGAGAAGTAGAGGACTGAGAACATGGACTTAATATACTGGCATAATGATTTTGTGCTTTTTTTTTTTGAAGCCATTTTGACTTAGCTTCCTCTTCTGAAAATAGGAAGCTAAAGAATAAGTTGATTTTTTAAAACCAACTTTTAAGGTAGAGACATAAAGTAACTTTCTAGAATAAAAATACAAGATCATCTTTTAGATTTTAAATTGTAGATATATCAATAATTTTTAATATTTTAATTTTTCCCCTGCCGTTGAGATGTGAAAAGTTAGCATGCCTTGCCTTGATATGCTGAGTTTCTTTAACTCTGATCCTTTTTATTGACAGTCTTAACATTATAAGTTTTTTCCCCTTAAAGATAATTTTTACATGCTCATTGAAAAAAAAAAAGCCAAACAATATAGAAATGGAAAATAGAATAAAATGGAATATAGAAGAGGAAAATAACCCCAAATTCTACACTCAGAAAAACATAGTTAACATTTTATAGGCCATGTTTGGAAGGGGTAATGTGGTATTATTTTGGATGAGGATGGGGAGGGGTTTGACACTACTAGAAGATACCATGGAGAAAAAGAAATAATCATACTAAGCTATCCTGAAATGAGACATTTAAAATGTACATGGAATACCATTAAATTAGTCTTGAACATTTCTGTTGATTTATTACTTTAATTACAGAAGTTTTAATTAATAAAAATATACCTTTCTTGTTCCTTCTAAAATTTGTATGAAGTATTTGGAAAATCCCTCTGTTTTAATGATATGAAATTAAGAACAAAGAATCCCGCTATCTGGCATTACCGTCAAAACAGAAAACAGATTAAAATTCAGAATAATTAGAGCTCTAATATCCTAGAGTTTTTCCTTCCTTTAGAAAAAAATTTCTATCTGATATATAATGGTTAACATAAACTTATTGCTTTTATTTTATACAGACGAGGTCTTTACTGGGTGTATTTGAAGAAGATGCTACAGCTATTTCCAATTATATGAACCAGTTGTATCAAGCTATGCATCGGATTTATGATGCACAGGTAAAAAGCTAAAGGCCGACTTGATGTTTTTTAAAAATGGATCTTTAAGCCTATGAGGACAGAGATAGTATCTTGTTTACTGGTGCCTAGCCCTGTCCAGTGCTCATAGTAATAACACTTGTTGAATGGATGAATGAACATTAAGTATTTTATATTACAGAGCTCACATTTTAGTTACTAATGTTTAGTTCGTAGTACTACAAAAGTGTTGAAGATGGAAGCATCTGCCCCTCTACCCCAAACCCAGTAAGGGCTTTCTTATTGAAACTTACTGATAGTGATCTTCACCTAAGATTTGACTGAAAACACCATATTTACCCTAATCATGCTTTTAGCCTTATGGAATACTCCCCTTTTTTGAGTGAAAATGGTTTGGATTTGAAAATAGTTTGCCTCTATCTAGTTAATAGAAGGTAATAAAAATTAAATGAAGCTCTGTGGCACAGGAGATGAATTTAAGAAAATATGTATGACTAGATTTTTTTGTTGTTGAACAGAAAGAATAATTGAGGGTGTGTTTAGGTAACTTAATTATAAGTCTTAACAACAACCTGGGTTCTGTAATAAACTTTCTTTGGGATTAATTAAGTGTACAAGTTTCATTTTTTTCCCCTTCTAATTTTCTCTCCTTTCTGGACTGACATTTTCATTTTGTACTTAAAAGTTGTTGTGATAGTTGTTTATTTTTTATCCTTGTGATAGGTCTCTCAAGATTTGATTTCTGACCACGGATGTTAATGTATAAAAGAAATGTTATTTTTGTCTTTATATTCATCACTGGAAAAAAAAACCTTTAAATTAAAAAAGTATTTCCTTCATATGACTATGTTGCTACAGTATGACTAGGCTGACCACATTTCGGTTGTATGTTATTAAATGCTTATTATCACAGTCTAGTATCAGCATCTAGAGAGGGATGATCAGTCATCAATGTAGAATCACTTAAGATTTTGCTAAAATAGTACAATTTACTTCTAAGTTTAAAGCTTTAACAATATTTAATTTAATGCTTAGATTTTATTTTTGAAAAAGCACATACTTGAAACACTGCTGAATTCCTTGATGGTATATATTTCATGGTTTAAGTTTCCCTTTAAAGTGCTTTAATGGTAGTTCTCTTTCCAGTAATGTAGTGAGAGGTTTAGAGACCATGTTGAATAGTATTTTTGTTTAGTGATAAAAGTAGTGTAGGTATCTTCTTATCAGTAATATTGTGTTAATTTGAATTTATTTTTTCCTTAGAATGAATTGAGTGCAGCAACACATCTGACTTCAAAACTTTTAAAAGAATATGAAAAACAGGTACTATATATGAAAGTTTTAAAAACATAATGTAAAATATGCAGTAATACAGATAAATAGAATTTCTCATCAAGAATCCTAAGCTTTTTTAAAAGAATCCACAGAAGGTAATTTTGGTATGCCATTGAAATTCCACTAGAGCACTTATGTCTAATTTTAATGATTTAATGTTAGATACAGAGGTTATCTAATTTGTGTCTCTTCTTTTTACAAATGAAGAAACTGAGGCTTGCTTAAGTTACACAGCTGGTAATTGAAGAAATTACAGCTAAACCCCAAATCTTTGCATTTCTAGTATGATGTACATTCCTATAAACTATGTTAATTGGTTGCTTAGGAAACATTTTAATTAAGTTTACTAATTATGTGAATTGTAGTGATACTTTTAGAGCTTATTTAAAATTTTAGAAGTTTTCTGGAGTTTTTTTAAAATGTAAATTGTAATGTCATTCACAAAAGACATATAGCATTGGCCCTTTACTTCATCTCTATTTCTCACTTTTCAGCGTTTTCCATTGGGGGGCGATGATGAAGTTATGAGCTCTACTTTGCAACAGTTTTCAAAAGTTATAGATGAGGTAAGTGCTTATTTTATTTTGCTTGAATAAGTGATCTTACAATTAAGTTACTCAAGTCGTTTAGCTTTTATTTGGAACTTTTACTATTATGATTATTTGAATAAATCTCTATTAGTAAAAGGTTACCATTTAAGAAGGACCTTATTTCCACATCTTGATGGCTGTCTTGTGAAAACAGTACTTTCTTTGGCTGATTAAAACAAGTTGTTTTTAAGGAATAAACATATATATATATAAGCTCTGCCAGTCCATGTAATGTTCAGTCTTTTCATTGTGTTACTGATGTAGGCAGGGAAGGAAGAGTTGAACTGTGAGCTTATACCTAGGCTCTACAGTTTCTCTCTTTTGCCATCAAGCAACATTTTACCTACCATTCAGTTCGTTAATCCTTCCATCTCTAACAGCCAATATCAACCCTTAATTTCTCTAACCAGTCATCAGAACAAATTATTAAAAAAATACCTAGAAGTTAGGAGGAAGAAAGGTGGTGAGAGAGTTTTGGAGAGTCCATAACTATTCTCTACTGGCAATGAAAGCTCTTCTTTTTACATGAACTATTAAGTAGTTTTGTCTTTTCTAGTCTTTTAACTGGAAAAGTACTTTTTTGAAGTATTTTAATAACTCATTATAGCAAAATATTGTCCCAGGAGGTCTATATAAAGGAATATTTATAGGAATTTTTTTTGTGCGTGTGGTGAAATTTACATAACAAAATTTACCACTAGCACCATTTAGTACATTCACAATGTGGTGCAGTCATCGCCATTGATGTTCTAGAACGTTTTTACCATCATCCCAAAGGAAACCCTATTAAGCAGTCACTCCCTATCCCTCCCTACCCTTAGCTCCTGGCAACCATAAATCTGCTTTTTGTCTGTACAGATTTGCCTATTTAGTATATTTCATTTAAATGGTCTCATACTATTTGAGAATATTTGCATCTGTCTTCTTTTATCTAGCATAATATTTTCAAGGTTGTAGCATATGTCAGAATTTCATTCCTTTTTTTGGCTGAATAAAATTCCACAATGAATATATTATATTTTAATTATTCTTTTATCAGTTCATGGACATTTGAGTTGTCTCTTATTACTGAGTTTGAGTTCTTTATTCTAGATATAAATTCCTTACCAGATATGTGAGGCAAATATTTTCTCCCATTCTATGGATTGTCTTTTTAACTTTCTTGATTTGACTTGATTTGATGCACAAAAGTTTTAATTTTGATGAAGTCCACTTTATATTTTCTTTCGTTGCTGATGCTTTTGGTTTCATATCTGAGAAACCATTGCCAAATCCAAGGTTATCCTGTTTTCTTCTAAGTTTTGAATGGAATTTTTTGACTGCATAATATTTTTTACTATATCACATAATTTTTAGTCTTCTCATGTAAAATCAACACCTTTTTACTAGGTTTTGTTTAATTTAGTTAGTTATTTGGCATTTTTGGTTTTTCTTTTACCAGCTTAGCTCTTGTCATGCGGTACTTTCAACACAGCTTGCTGATGCCATGATGTTCCCCATTACTCAGTTTAAAGAAAGAGATCTGAAAGGTATTGTTTACTTTCATTAGTTGTCAGAAGATCAATGCCTATAAAATGTGTATTACTGTGTATCTTAACCATTTCTCGATAGTATTCACAGCTTATGCCATTTTTACTTTAATTTGTCACTAAATGTTTATAGGAGCTCCCGCTAGATGATAAACTAGAAACTGAGGAATACTGATATGAATAAGATACTACTTCTCTTGAGAAAGCCTAGAGAAAGAGATGGGTAAAAAGATACTTAGGGTACTCTGTCTCTAAGGGAGCAAGGGAACTCTTGCTCATTAGGGAACAAGCAAGGTGTTGTGAGGGCTTAGAGGAAGGTGTCAGAAAGACTTTACTAAGGATGTGACATGAGCATTGAACAATGAAGAGGAATTTGCCAGAGAAAAGAATAATTTTATTAGAGGGACTAGGAAGCACAAAAGTATGGGTTATAGAAATACATGGCTTTTTTTGAGAATGACAAGAAATTCAGTATGGCTTCAGTGTTGAATGTATTGGGCATGGCAGGAGACAAATCTAGAAATAGATTAGTTGGGATTAGATTATGCTAAAAATGTTCAACTTGAGTTTAAAAGCAAAGAGAAGCCAGTGGAGGTCTTTAAGAAGTAGAGACATGCAATTTTTTTGTTTTTGGAGAGTGGAATAGAGTTGATGTGATGTCTAGGAGAATGGATTGGGAAGTTGTGAGCATCTAGTGAGGTGTATGACCAAGGCCTGAACTGGGACAGTGGCACAGGAGATGGAGATGTGTTTATGGGCTGAAGCGGTAGGAGATTGTAGTGCAGGCACATCTAGCAATCCATGACTTAGTAGTTTGTGGTGGGTTTTTTCCCATTTAGGATTATTCAATGATGAGAGTTTTATGGAATTGGTTCTACTTTCTCATAATTTACAACCTTAGACAATTATACAGATTTATTTATAGGATGATAGACTGAAACATTGAACGTATCTGTGGATGGTAAAATATTTAAATTATACATGGAATAAAAACAAATGTATTTTAGAGAAAGAGTTATTTGTGGTGGTAATGTTCAAGAATGATCGTTCCAAGGTCAAGAAACAAAATCTCTTTTCTCAGTTTAAGGGGACTGAATGTCATAATTTTATTAATAAAATGTTCTGTGTTTCTCATTTATCATTTGAACTTATTAGCATCAATATAAAAAAATGAATTAATTGGATTCTGGTACTAAGAATATTTGCATATCTTAGAATTTGCAGTGGTTTTAAAATTTGTTTTTGTGTCAGTACTAATTTGTGGCAAGTAGATTTTATACAGGTATAACTGTTGCTAATGATAGTTAAGTGCTCTATAGACTAGCTGAAGTACAGAATAATTTTTTCACTTTGAATATTGAAGTATGAAATATTATTTGGAGTTTTAATTATAGCTTAAATGGCAGTTACTGTTTTCTAAACAAAATTTAAGGTATTTCATAAATATGCTACACTGAAATTATTCTTGAACTTTTCCAGAAATATTGACATTAAAGGAAGTGTTTCAGATTGCTAGTAATGGTAAGTTCTTAATACTTTACTCAGTTATTTCTTGTGGTGATGCATTTCTTTATCACAATATTCTATGCAATGATTGAAAAAAAATGAACCTAATTAAGTAAACATGATTTAAATTAATATTGTTATTTAAGTTGCACTGTTTATGCTACAGAAAAATTTAAAAGGGAATTTTAAATCAAATCTTGTGATTTGCTATCTTCATAATACCTAGAGGTGGTACAATACATTCCCTTCCTTGTTTTCCTATATATTCCAAGTTTTCTTTAATGAGTATTTGCTATTTTTGTACTAAAAACACTTAAAAAAATTTTTAATGGATTACAATTTCCTTTGAATTAAATATTTTTACCAATTTAATGACTGGAAACATACTTTAGGGGAAATTTGGATAGGAGAACATTTGTCTGGAGTGATAATATGGTAAGGAATTCTTACCTTTAGTGTATTTGTTGAAAGATGTACATATGAAGACCATTTAAAGCATTTATGAGTTTTGCAAAGTACCGTTGTATTGTTAATAGTCATTTCTGTTTTCTAGATCATGATGCTGCAATTAATAGATATAGCAGATTGTCAAAAAAAAGAGAAAATGACAAGGTATGATACATACTTATTCCTTCAGTATCAACATTAACAACTGTTTCATTAGGCGGTCTGATTTTTTCCTGTTTGAAAATAGTAGCCAGCACTAACTTTGTTTTACTGTATTGCCCTTAGCTTAATCTTTTCTTCTTGTTATTTCAAAGCCTTTCTGATAATTGTTAGTTATCACACAATTAGTAATGGTCTCTTTAAACAAAATACTTTTCTGCTGACAAAATTTTATAAGTAAACATAACTATTCCAAAAATGTAATTGATATCCAGTATATAACATTGCCTCCTTTTGCTCTGTATTTCGATCACATTGCATTTGTTCTGTTTTTATTTGACCATGTATGTATTCAAAAATGTCCTTTGAGATACAGTAGTTAAAAAGTTGAAATGCCGTATACGTAATTCAGTGAAATTCCATTTTGAGGACCTCCTCATTCACAATTCTTAAAAGAGTGAAATCCAGAAATATACTATATTTGAGGAGAAATATATTTGAGTAAAGGACAAAGAACAGAATGTTAAGAGGTTTATCTGGATGCTCCTTAAGGTCATTTCTCTTTCGACGCCTAAGCCAAGGCTTGATGAGTTGACCTCCATTAGATGTTTGTGAGGTGATCTCTGTGCCTAGGAGTTGGTGTCTATAATCTTGGTTGCAGTTCCTGGTTAGGGACACAGTGACGACTTTTGGGAATCCATGATTGGGTAGTATTTACTTTGCATCAGCAACTGTGACACAATAAAGGTAATGTTTCTCACACAAAAGTTTAGTACAAAGATCTACTTTCCATTTCAAATTTTAGTTCACCAGTTATTTGATGGTATAAATATTAAGATAATACATACATTTTGAGATATACGTATCTATGTTACTTTGCCTCAGAGAAGTAGTTAAAGGCCCTAGGTATGAATTTTACCGGTATTTCTGAAAACATTCTTTCACCAATTTTATTTGAAAAATTGAGCACCTACTATATGTTGGGTTCCATAGGGGAACAATGTGAATAGGCTCTACTCCTGTCCTGAAGGAGTGGATAAACTAAATTTATCAAAGGCTTCTTGTGCGAAGGCTTCTAAATGCCAGAGTACAAGGATGAAGAGAATGCATGGATCAACACCGAATTAAGTGCAGTAATAGAAGTCTTAACAAAATGCTGGGAGAGCTCACAAAGGGCAGCAGTTAACTCTGGTGAATTGAGAAAGGCTACTCTTTTAGGAGGTGATATTTGCATTGAAGAGGAGTGGATGTTATTATTCTTCAATGGGATTGGGGAGAGGGCACTCCTGGAAGAACAACAGCCTTTGCAGAAGCACATGGTAGAGTCTGAAGAGCGTAAAGGTTTTAGAGCACTGGATCCGGAGTCAGACTGCTTGAGGACAAATCTCAGCTCTGCCACTTATTCTCCTGAGGTCACTTTCTTTTAAGCCTTTATGTCTTCCCTATCAAAAAAAACCCTCAGTAGTTGTTAATATGAAATGGCTTATAGCAAGTTTTTATTAAACTGTAGTAATAGTTATTATGATAATGGAAAGATAATCATTTCACTGTCTGGAGCATAGGGTGTACTTGGGGAGATATGGCAGAGATGACAATGTAGTAGTTTAGGGCCAGATTACTATGTTAAAGACTTTGAAATTTGTGTGGGCAGCCATCATAGAATTCTAAGTGGTTGAGTATCACCATGCAGTTGTACTATAGGATAACAATACTAATGAAAATGTGAAGAGGACAAGACTAGAGACAATCCAATGAAAAAGTATCAGAATAGTTTGCAAAGGCATTAGGAGAATCTCTGCTAAGGTTGTTATCGAAAGTGGAGAGGAAGGAATACTTTTGGAAGACATTTCATTAGTAGAATTGACAAGACTGACTTACGGTAGGAGGAGGAATAATTAAGAGCTGAAAAACAAAGTAGAGAAGCAGGTTTTATGGAGAGGGGACTCTTGAGTTTTGTACATTTCCAGCATCCCCTTCTCCCCCCCACATACATACATACATACATACATAAAGAGCTCAGGTGGACATATGCTTCCTTTAACACCGGCTAGTGAAGGGCAAGAGAAAACTTTGGGAGTCATCGGTGTATGGAATATTCTTGGTATTTGATGTGGTATTCGAAGGAAAGCAGGAAGAAAGAAGAGCCTAGTGTATATTACATAATAGGCGCTCAGTAAATATTTGGTGTCTGAATATAAGAACTCAGTGGAGCACACGTTATTTTAAATGCGGGTGAAGGAAGACAGGAAAGTACAAGAGACGAGCAGTAGGGAGGGAACCAGGAGGAGAGACAAAACTAGTATGCTGTGAACTGACCAAGGTCAAAGACTAATGCCTGAACAATTGTCTACCTTTCCTTTATGTGGTAAAATTTCCCTGCCATACTTAGTTTAGTTATTGTACCCTTTCTGGTTATGCGCACAGTTCTGCTTTTAATGTATTTTTTAAATGAAGTGGTTGGTAGTAAAACAGGAAAACTATCCTAGCCAATATTTTTCAGGCTTTTTTTTTTTTTTTTTTTTAAGTTAAAAAACTTTTTAAAATTGTAGTTGACATTCAATATTATTTCATTTCAGGTGTACAGTAAAAATAAGACATTTATATAACTTAAGAAGTAACCACCCCAATAAGTCTAGAACCCACCTGGCACAAAACATATTTATTACAATATTATTGACTATATTCCCAATGCTTTACTTTATATCCCTGTGACTATTTTGTAACTGCCGATTTGTACTTCTTAATTCTTTCACTTTTTTCACCCAGTCCCCTAACCCCCCTGCCATTTGTCAATCAGCAGTTCTCTACCAATGAGTTCCTGTTTTGATTGTTCATTTATTTTGTTTTTTAGATTCTACATATAAATGAAATCATATGGTACTTGTCTTTCTCTGTCTGACTTATTTCACTTAGCATAATACTCTAGTTCTATTCATGTTATTGCATATGGTAAGATTTCATTCTTTTTATGGCTGAGTAATATTCCATTGTATATGTGTGCCATATCTTCTTAATCCAAATGTCTATCAGTGCTTCCATATCTCTTGGCTATTGAATATGAAAGTTCTTTGTCTCTTGTTAGAGTTTTTATTTTAAAGTCTATTTTGTCTGATACAAGTATTGCTACTCCAGCTTTTCTTTGTCATTTTCATTTGCATGAAATATCCTTTATCATTCCTTTACTTTCTCTCAGTCTGTGTGTGTTTTTCGATCTGGAGTGGGCTCGTTGTGGGCAGCATATGTATGGGTCTTATTGTCTTTTTCATTCAGCTACCCTATGTGTTTTGATTGGAGCATTTACTCCTTTTACATTTAAAGTAATTATTGATAGATTTATAGTTATTGCCATTTATATTTATATTTTTGACCTTTTTGTTTTCCTTCTCAGAGAAGTCCCTTTAACATTTCTTGTAATTCTGGCTTGGTGGTGATGAACTCCTTTGGCTTTTTCATGTCTGGGGAGCTCTTTCTCTCTCCTTCAGTTCTAAATGATAGCCTTATTGGGTAGAGTAATCTTGGTTCCAGATTCTTGCTTTCAACACTTTGAATAATTCTGGCCAATTTCTTTTGGCCTACAAAGTTTCTGTTGAGAAATCAGCTGATAGTCTTATGGGGGCCCCCTTGTAGGTAACTAACTGCATTTCTCTTGCTGCTTTTAAGATTCTCTCTTTATCTCTAACCTTTGGCATTTTAATTCTGATGTGTCTTGGTATGGGCCTCTTTGAGTTCATCTTGTTTGGGACTCTGTGCTCCCTGGACTTGTATGTCTATTTCTTTCACTAGCTTAGGGAAGTTTTCAGTCATTATTTCTTAAAATAGCTTTTCAATTCCTTGCTCTCTCTTTTCTCCTCGTATCCCTGCTATGGAGATGTTGTTATGCCTAATGTTGTCCCAGAGGTCCCTCAAACTATCCTTTTTGTAAATTTTGATTCTTTTTTCTTTTTGCTGTTTTGATTGGGCTTATTCACCACCTTGTATTCCAAATTGCTGATATGATTCTCTGCTTCATATAATCTGCTCTTGATTCCATTTAATGTATTCTTCATTTTAGTTTTTTATTCCTCACTTTTTTTTTAATGGTTTCTGTCTCTTTGTGTAAGGTCTCACTGATTTCACCTGTTCTTCCCTAAGTTCATCAAGCATCCTTATAACCAGCGTTTTGAACTTTATATCTGGTAGATTACTTGCCTCCATTTCATTTATTTCTTTTTCCAAAGTTTACTCCTATTTTATTTGAGACATGTTTCTTTGTTTCCTCATTTTGGTTGCCTTCCTGTGTGTGTTTCTATGTTAGGTAGATCTGTTACATCTTCCAGTCTTGGCAGGGTTGCCTTAGTAGTAGGTGTCCTGTGGGGCCCAGTGGTGCAGACTCCTTGGTCACCTGAGACTGGTGTGCCATGAGCGTCCCTTGTGTGGGTTGTGTGTGTCTTCCTGTTGTAGTTGAGCCTCGATTGCTGTTGTCAGTGGGTAGGATTGACCTTCAGGTTGACTGGCTGTGAAGACTGGCTGAGGCTATAGCAGACGAGCTGTAGTGCAGGGGCTGACCCCACAGTGTGAGATTCACCGTAGTAGGGCTCTGGTGCCTTCTGAGTCCACCCTTTGGGTGTGTCATTTTTGGAGTTAATTGGGTCATGCTCTGGTGTGAAGCTGCCACTGGGTGTGTTGGTTCAGGGGCCTCGTGGAGGGGCTCTGGTGCAGGCCCAGGTCAACCACTGCCTCTGCACAGCCCATGGCCACCTGGTAGGAGCTACAAAGTGGTCTGCAGTTTGTAGCTGCCAGTGCTGGACTTAGAGATGCCTAGGAGAGGCTATGCTGCAAACCGAAGCTTATTGCCATTAGTGCTGGGGGCTGCTTAGCAACAGATACAGAGCACACTGAGGCCAGCCGCTGCTTGTTTTGGATTTGTGGACCTTTGAGAGATTTTAGGGAAGTCCGAAGTGTGGATTGAGGCCAACAAGTTGTGAAGAATGGCTGCTGAAAGAGGTTTGAGCTGGTGCTCAGGTTGGGTAGGGCAGGTTCTCGGGGAATCACCAGGGTGGGACAAGTTTGATGAAGACTCATATTTGGTGCCCACCTGTGCCTGCAGGTGTGTAGGGGAAGGGCTTAGCAAAGGAACAATGGCTCCTCCCAGTAGTTTAGTACCAGAGAGGCTGCCCTCAGGGGAAACCTCTGCAGCCAAGATAGGCCCCCACCCCCAGTTTCTTAACCATGCATGGGTATCAGACCAGCCTGTTTTGCCTCCACCCCTCCTAGCAGTCTCTTGTGTAGCTTCTTTATATCCTTAATTATAGGAGTTCTGTTCAGCTAGTCTTTAGGTGGTTCTCAAGAGTGGTAGTTCTATAATTCTGATGTCATGGGAGAAGGCGAGCATATCATTTACCTACTCCACCATCTTGACTGAAAGTCTCCTCTAAGATTTCTAATATCTAAGAAAATAAGACAGCTATGCATAGTTGCTGGTGATGAACCTTTTTCTTTGGGTAAGCTCTTCCTTATAGCCACTACTGAAGATAACTCAAAATTAAATAAATAATAGCATTTTTAATCTTTTTGCTTAAAGGTGAAGTATGAAGTAATAGAAGATGTCTACACTTCCAGAAAAAAACAACACCAGACCATGATGCATTATTTTTGTGCATTAAATACTCTTCAGTACAAAAAGAAAATAGCATTGTTAGAACCTCTGCTTGGGTACATGCAAGCTCAGGTGAGTACTATACTGAGTTTTGGATAACTGCCCTAAAAGCTTTAAATTATGATATTTATGTTAAATATAAGGATATTACAAACTAAGGTCAAATTCACATTTGTGTCTGTGTTTAAAAAAATAATTTTAAAATGTCATGAAAATGTTATTTTAAGGAAGTTATTAAAGAGAATGGTTTTTCTCATAGATGAAGATTTCAAATATTTTAAGGTTAATTGAAACCATTTACCTTGTATTTAGATTCTGTCTATTACAGTTGAGGATAGGGAACAGAAAGCTAAATGAGTTCTGGAGTTATGCCTTTTGCAGAAGCTGCTACTCCGTCTTGCTTCATAATAGACCTGAAAGAGAAGTTTGAGTTTGTCTCATGTTGCTTGAAGACTTCCTAAGTTAAAAATAATAAATGATCTCCATAGTGTCCCAAGAGATATGCTTCAAGAAGGAGGCTAGATAATTAAATTTGGGTAATATGAGATGGTCATCCCTTAAAAATCAAGAGTTTAAAGAAATTTGAATATTTTTGCAAATATGAGTGCTTATTATTCCTCAGATATAAAACTTTTTTATCTTTGTATTAAACTTGAAATAGTTTATCCATATGACTTACTTGAAATGTTTTGTAAGTTACTTTCCAATTTTAAAGAATTGCTTACTATGTGCATATATGAATCTTTAAAAAGATGGACAGTGAAATTTAAGTTTAGTTTCTTCAGTGGCTTCATGCCTCGTAGAAGTCATTATAAACTATAGTATCTTTTTACACAGATGGGAATAATCCTTTGTTTTTTACCTAACCTTGTATCTTGGAATTTGCTTATATGATTCACTTCAAGTATTTTGTTTGTATATGTCCATGTTTCTGTTGTTCAACCTCCCATTCCCATATTCTCTTGCATCAGATAAGTTTCTTTAAGATGGGTTCTGAAAATCTCAATGAACAACTGGAAGAATTCTTAACTAATATTGGGACAAGTGTACAAAAGTAAGTATTTTCTTCCTTAAAGTTAAAAATGAAGATATGTGAATGATAAGTTAACAGCTAAATGCCATAATGTAAAAATATTTACTATTTAATTTCCTGAGGAGCTATTTTCCCTGCCATGGCTCATGGACACTTCTTGGTTTTCTCACTGTCTTTTCCACAGAATCTGAACTCTATAAATTTTTAACAGTGTCAAATCTGATTTTTCTTTATTGATTCTAAACTTGGTTTAATGTCTGAATATAACAAACATATAATAGTAATTAGCCATAAATGAATTATCCTCACAATTACCTGAATTGTAAGGGATAAATGGGAGATTACTAAATAAATCTTGTTTTCTAAGCAATGAAATCTGAGAGAAAGCAGTTTTAATCAGGTTCAAAAGACTGAGCAGTGATGTGGTCAATCAGAGGTGGAGAGATGAAAATGATTATTATTTTAAAGGTATAGGAAGAGCCATTTGGAAATTCCTCTAAAGTCAGGCATTCAGTGTGGCTTCATTAGTTTTTGAATTTAGTATTGTTTCCAGAATATGTAAGTTTCAAATAAAAAGCTGTTTTATAACATCTTCATGTTACTCTAACCACCAATACCACTGCTGCTCTCTTTAAGAAAATATATACAAAACAAATATACAGGTAAATGTGATTGGTAAGGAATTTTCTGTTGTAGTTGGTAGTAAATAACTTATTCTTTGTGTTAGTGTTCGCAGGGAAATGGACAGTGATGTAGAGACCATGCAGCAGACAATAGAAGATTTGGAAGTAGCCAGTGATCCTTTATATGTGCCTGACCCAGATCCCACGAAATTTCCTGTTAATCGAAACTTAACCCGAAAGGCTGGGTATCTTAATGCTAGGAAGTAAGAAAACTATTGTTATTTTCATATATTGTAAATCATCTAAGGTGGTAGCAAGTGAATATAATATATAATTGGTGTTATCTACCTATTGTTTTGATTTTACTAATGGTTGAATCATTTTAGTTAATGGTATTAGTATTTATGTGAACTTTTTGACAGATGGGAGTACATGAATAATTTTCAAAAGTAAAATTCTGTTTATGTATTTATTGAATAATTTAGAATTATTTTTAAAAGTGAAACCAATTCGAGATTAAATCAATCTAGCATAACATGTGAATGTTATTGCATGCCATTTATTATACTTTAAAATATATGTAATTATACCATTAAGTCAAACTTTAGTTTTTATTTTACGATGAGATAAAGCAAGTTAACCCTAGGAGTAAAACAAATACTTTTGTTGTGAATTTACACCCTTGAAAAATTAAACTATATTTTATGGAGCATCATAACAGCAGCAATTTGATAATTGCTTTGTTTCATAAACATATACACACACACTCACACAAGTGTGTCAGCATACATGAATTTATTTTAGAGACTAAAAAACTGATATTTATATTTTGTAGGCACCTTGGTGCCTTTTTTGCTAGTTGGTTCTTTGTGATGTGCTTTATCTTGTGTTTGCTTATGATGAGATTTCGTGTGTTATTAAAGAATGAATGTACTTTCTTTATTTAGTAAAACAGGCTTGGTGTCATCTACCTGGGACAGACAGTTTTACTTCACTCAGGGTGGAAACTTAATGAGTCAGGCCCGTGGGGATGTAGCAGGAGGCCTGGCCATGGACATAGACAACTGCTCAGTAATGGCTGTGGACTGTGAAGACAGGCGGTACTGTTTTCAGATCACTTCTTTTGATGGAAAAAAGTTAGTATTTTTCCTACTGTAAATAAACTGTAATATTTTAAACTACTGAAATGCAAGATAATTCCTTTTCATTCAGACATTTATATTTTAGTCTTATTATGTATTAAGATAACTTTCTTTCTGATCTTATAGAAATGAGTTGAATTTTCCTTTCTGACTTTGCTAAATGATGTCTTAACATTTTGAGGTTGTTAGAGCAAGGTCATATGGTAAAGACCTGTGATTTCATGTTGAGACTGGTCACCGGAAATCCTCCATGGTGGGGAAGGCAGAACAAGTTAGTGGAAAGAACCTCAATCTTGGGGTCAGAATTTCAAATTTTAGATCCACTATTTACTTGTGGTCTTAGACAAGTTATATAACCTTTCTAATCTCCATTTTGGTACATGTAGAATGGGGGGTAGTCATATCCCTAATTTATAAATTGTTAATGAAAAATTGAAATCTAACATATGTAATGTGCCTAGCATATAAGTGCTAACAATAATGTTATTTTTAGATGTTAATTAAGTATTTTTGATCAAATTAAGTATTTAGTCTATTAATGTTTATATGCCATTTAAAAACTTCTATTCTCTGTGCAGTAAATGAGAATCTATAGAGTAACCTTTAGAAGAAATTTTGAAAAGTACAGAAAAATATAAAAAGGAGTATGTAAAAAAGCTATAATCCCACTAACCTGAAGCAACAATTAACTTTTTGGTTAATTGTTGCCTTACAGTTTTATTCTAATTATAGTTTTTAAATAGTTGAAGAAATACTATTTATATAATCTGGATCTGCATTCACTTATTAAAAACATTTTATAATGGCTACAGTATAATCCACTTTAGGATATGCACCATAATTTTTCCTAATGATGGATGTTTAAGTTATCTATAGTTTTTTCTCTACTTAATAAAAAAATTGTTTTCACTCTTTCTTGTTCAGAAGCAGCTTCTGGGCCCCATGAAAGTCATTTTTCCTAATGATGGATATTTATCTATAGTTTTTTCTCTACTTAATTAAAAAATTGTTTTCACTCTTTCTCATTGTTCAGAAGCAACTTCTGGGCTCCATGACAGTTATTTTCCCCCCTGTATTTATGTATATTAAGATGTTATGAAAAAATTGTTTTTACAATATTAAAACATTAAAAAAAAGATTTTATGGCTCACTATATTTTATCAAAATGGTTGTTTAATTTCCTATTCCTTCTATAAACATATAATGAATGCAAATGTGTCAGTTATGTTAGATATTAGAAGTCTCTGTGTTCATTTGTCAAAATTACCAAATCGTTAATATCTTACAAGTACTTACCTTTTTGTATTTTCAGATTTTTGCTAATGCTTATTAACATGATTTGCTATTTCACATTCCTGGTTTTATTCAAGATTAGTAAAAATTTATGTTTTTCTCTAACTCTTACAACATGAACATCTATAGAAAAGCTAAAGATCCCTAGTGATTAATATATTGAAAATTTTTATTTAACCATATTTACAGAGAAATAATAATGATGTAAAATTAGTATTTTTCCACATGATATCACTTATATGTGGGATATAAACCTAAAAGCAGCAACCAAGCAGGACAAACAAACAGAGACTCATATGGCCATGGACTCGTCTACTGGCCATGGACATAGACAAGTGGTTACCAGACGGTGAGGGGGAGGGAGGAGGAGGAAGGTAGATGGAGTAAAAGGGGTCAAATATGTGGTGATGTTAAAGAATCATAAATAAATAAAAGTGTTTTATATTAGGATCACTGATTTATATTTGAAATACGTGTGTCATAGGTTGAAATAGATGATCTTAGTTGTAGTGCACCTTTGTTATAGACTGTCTTCTGAAAACTAGCACCTGTTTTAATTTCGGTACTTTTCTGCATATATAGCCAAAGTCAAGAGTTGTTAAAATCTGAGTCCTGATTCCTCTGGTAGTCTCTTTTCCCTAAGATACTGGGGGGGTGGGGGCGGGGGCGGGGTGGTGTGTGTGTGTGCGTGTGTGTGTGCGCGCGTGCGCGCATGTGTGTTATACTGATTGATTTTATATATACTGTTAAAGATAAATAATTTTCTCCAATCATGTTGAAAGCACACTAAGAAAAAGTTAAGGGTCAAACTTCTCCTCTTTTTTTTTCAGATCTTCCATTTTGCAAGCAGAGAGTAAAAAAGACCATGAAGAGGTAAAATTTTATCAAGTTAATTTTTTTAGCAACATCTTAAGACATTTCACTGATGACAAACATGTATTAATGAGTTTATTATAAAGAGTAGAAAAATTCTGGTTCACTGAAAATGTCTTTTTAATAAAAACATGTTTCACAGAGAATTTTATAGCCAGACCTATAAGGAGATACCTTAGAGATTATCTCTGCTGTCTTTTTAAAGGCTCAGAATCAGAAATGACCTCGTGACTTGCTTTCTGGCAGGCTATTAGTATCATGAGGCGACGGTTTAATTTATTCACTTCTCATCCCCCTCTGAGACAATATTTGCTGCATTAAGAACATAGTGGCAGCATTTGTATGGCAGGAAGCAACTAAAGCTTAAAACCTTGGGGAAATGAAAGACAAAAAGACAAAAATTTGGGAATATCTGTTCTTCCTTACAAGTCTTTTATTTTTGGCTTCATTTTTACTTCTAGTACACCAGAAGTAAGTTACTACTAAGAACTGAAGCTTCAAAAACTTTGTGTTGAGAAATATTCTTCAATGAAAATACAAGTTGATTTTGAGCCATTCTGTCTGTTAGGTTAGACAAGGTTAGAAATTATGCAGAGATCTACCCTAAGTTCTCATGGAAATGAGTAGACATTAAAAATCTGACTTTTGGTCTCTGAGGAACACAGACAAACATCTGCTCTCTGGGTTTACCAAACAAAATATTAGTTGAGTTTCGTGAGGCTTATCAGGCAATGGAATTATTGGGAATGAAACATATGTGAACAAGAGAGCATTTTCTATGTATGTTAATTATTTATAAACTTGAAAGAAGGGAAGTGTATAAAATATATTTACCAGGAATATGTTCACCTCTTAACTTTTTTGCATTGGTGTTAATCATGATACCTGCATCCAGACTGTCTTGTTTGGTGCGGATTAAGGGGGAAGTGATATAAAAAGATAAATATAGACTACTAAATTATAATTTAACAGGATTTTTTATTTCCTTGTATGAAATAAATTTAGGATTTAAAAATAATAAGTCTGTTCAATATTGTTATACCCTCAAATATCATGTATACATGTATGCTTATATATATAAGAAGGTATTTATCTTAAAGATTGTGTTACTTCTAATGAAACATATTTCATTCATATATCAAACATTCTCTTTTAGAAGAGCAGCATTGTATAAAAAAACTAATCATATTTTTCTGTTTTTTCCTCTTTCAGTGGATCTGTACAATAAACAACATATCTAAACAAATATATTTAAGTGAAAATCCAGAGGTAATATTTTTATCTTATGGTATCCAGGTCTGGCAAAATTGAAAAATTCTGTGGCTAATACGGTTTTTATTAATTAAGTCATAATTCTCAAGTTCTGTAATCTTTTAATTTGCCCTAAAATGGGTAGTTTTAATGTATCATAAATATAATGAATATGTGGTCTTCCTAGAATAATAAATTATTTTATAGGTACTGAAATCAGCCAACCAACAACTATTTACTGGGCATTGACCTTGTGTTTAACCCTGTGTTGAACACCAGGGAGAAGGGGATACAGAAGAAATATAAGCCATGGCTTTTGCCCTCCAGGAGCCTATGTATGTGGGAAGACAAAACTAAAACTTTAACATTTCATACAAAACAATATGTAATTGAAAACATATTGTGATGACTTAAGATTTGAGAACAAGATCAGTGTGGACTCTGGAGATGGTGAAAACCTGAGCTGTGTAGGATTTGTCCATGTTTTGAATAAAAGAAAAGACATTACAGATAATAGAAACAAAAACACAAATGTAGATATGGTATGAATCTAATGGTGTAATTGGAGTTGAAGATTCTTGTTGGAGAATAATAGAAAACTGAAATGTGCATACCAGTCACCTGGGGATCTTGTTAAAATACATATTATGATTCAGGAAGCCTTGGGTGAGGTGGCTTGAGCTCTTAATTTTGCCAATTATACTTTGAGTAGGAAGAGAATCAAACCAGATGAACTCTGCAGTGTTGACATAGCCATAGGTATGGTCCAAGCATATAGGCAGAACCCAGGAGTGTAGAGAACTCTGGAAGGAAACAAATGGGACCATAATGTAGTGTAGTTGGAGAAGACTTGGCTTAGGATAGGAGCTTTGTGGGCTCTGCCATTGTTGGTAGGCCCAGCTATGTTATGAATCTGGGTGTCATCTAGCGTTGGTCAAGGGGGCGGCATTGATGATTTCAGTTGAGGCAGAGCAGGGCTAATTTCTCTAGGTAGTTCTCACCCTTCTAAGTCTTAAACTGTAGTCATAATGGTTAATTAGATGGGCGTGTCTGGGGACACAGAAGAGTCCATTATCATTCGTTCAGGCATGAACTGAGGATTTGATCAGGGTAATAACTGAGGAAAGAAAAAATAATGAATCATAGAAACAGGTAAAAAGAAATTGGACTAGTTAGTAACTAGATTGATGTAACGGACGAAGGAACTGACCCATGTTAAGGATGAAGAAGAATTAGGTAAAGATGACTTCCAGGTTTTAAGCTGAAGTGAAGGGAACAGTTTGGAAAAGAAGGGTTCTGTTTTTATTGTAATGGGTTTGAGGTGCCCATTCAACACATATGATTTAGATGCCTAGGAAAAGTTTTGAACTAAAGAAACAAAAATCTCAGACCTCCAAAATACAAGTAATTTCTGTTTTATAATAATCATATGTGTTTAAGAAATCAGTGCTAACTGAAGAGAAGCCTTTTGCTTTTAACTTGATCTGGCAATCTAGCTTTTCCTTTCTGTTATGTTAGTTGAGCAACAAAAAGTTAAAATGCAAAATAGATGACTTGTTAATACCTGGTGAATAAATACATAGAGAATACAATGTTTGAATTTGAAAATTCAAGCTTATTGTACTTTTCTATCGATTTTCAGAACTCTTAAGTTTTAATGAATAATTTCCAGGTTATCCAGAATTATTTATATTAATGAAAGAAGAAATTTTGATCAGTTTGTGGCATTGTAAAAATATTGTGATTAGTTTTTCTAATATAAATCCCATTTTACTTACTAATGTTTTAAATAAAAGTAAGTTTACCGCTATGTCTTATGGAAAGCTTTTTTTACTTTCAAATTTTGGTCTGAAAATATTCAAGGTAACTTTATTAGTTAATAAATATAGATGTTTCTGAGTATAACTGTATTCTGGAAAATGATGAAAACTTAAGCAGTATATTTATAAGATATTTTAATATTTTGTGACTTCTCCTAAATTTCTTTATTTAGCAAATTTATTGAGTTCCCAGTATGCTAGGCACTGTGCTAAGTGCTAGAAATACAAACCTTAATCCAAAAAATCTGGTAGCGAAAAATGTTAAAGAAAAAACAGTATTTCCTAGTAGGTATATTAATAGAAAAAAATCATATTGTTCCTTCTACATTTACAGGAAGAGGAAACAAGTTATATAATGCTACAAAGTTAATTATGTATCTTAATATTAAGACAAAGTATGTGGAACTACTTATAGTAACTCCAAATTACATTTTATGTATAACTTAAGAACATTCTAGTAATTCAGAGTTAAATTCAAACTTTTGTGTTTTTTTTTGCTTTACTAATATTAAAAAAAATAGGAAATTGCTGCACGAGTAAATCAGTCAGCTTTGGAAGCTGTCACTCCTTCCCCATCTTTCCAACAGAGGCATGAAAGCCTACGGCCAGCAGGGTAAGTTGCCATAGTGTGGGTTATTTAAAGAACTATATGGGCTGTTGTTTGCTAACACTTCGATTTCAGCAGTGATGCTTATAATTAGTATGAAATAGCTCCCCAAACAACATAGAAATTGTATTTTCAAATTGGTAAATTTACCAGCAAGAATGCTAAATAAATGATTCCAAATTTCTCTAGTGTTTATCTCTAGATTGAGGTGATTTATGTTTTTGAATTTAATAATTGGAAATAATTCTGTTATGATTTGGGATTCTGATTTTGAAATTTGTTCCACTCTTCTTATTGACTGACAAAATTGTATTTTCATTTCTCATTGTTTTAAGTGTTCTGTTTCCAAAAGAAAAAACTAAATGCAATGCCTTCTTGTTTTCTTCTGTGCTTATTAGACAATCTCGACCACCGACCGCTCGAACCAGCAGTTCGGGATCCTTAGGATCTGAGTCCACAAACTTGGCTGCCCTTTCTCTAGATTCTCTTGTTGCCCCAGACACCCCAATACAGTTTGACATTATTTCTCCTGTGTGTGAAGATCAGCCTGGCCAGGTGAAAGCCTCTGGTCAAGGAGGCAGGTGGGTGATAGCATCACAGGGACATTGTGCTATCGTCTGTCAGGTTTATGGTTCCATTTTTACGTTTGAGAATCACCTGTTACATATCATATACATCAGCTGTATTGTACTTTAATTACCTAATATAATTTGGGTAGTTGGGGAAGAATCATGACAAGTTTTTCTTTTCTCTTTGTTTTCTGCTTCGGTTAAATAACTTTTAGTTTAAAAAATAATTTAGTTTTAAAAATATTTAATTCCGAATTGCTTATCAGATGTACTTCTTAGCTATTGCTCTTAAAATTGTAGAAGAAAGCTGACAGTCCTATCTTTAGGTCATGACAGTATCTTAAAAATTCTTGAGAGTAATACATATACTATAGTTTTACTAGAAAATATTATCTTGTATCGGAATAAGAACTCTCCAGGAGAATACTAAAACTTCATACTATGAATTATTAATGAATTGTATTTTGTTTATATAATGAGAACTATCCTTATCAAAACAGTTACAGTTTTTCTTTGGCTGTAGATGAAGGAAACATGACTTAAGGTAAATCATTTATTAAGTAGGTTGGACTCCTAATAAATTGATAATATATTAATTTGGCTATACATGACTGTGGCCAAGAGAAAGTAATTTACGTTTGATCACAGAAATATACCTATCCTTTGATATTATATCAAATAGGTCAGACATGTATTAGGGAGATAATTTCATGTGAACTTAATGCCAGCATTTTTTAGAACCACTTAGCTCTTTGCTTGCAAAACCTACCTTGAATTGTACCTTTCTTCCTTCGTTGTATGTGTGTAAGAGCCAAGCATACTAAAGAGAGGTGGCTTCCATCTCTAATTGGCTTTTCTTCTTGCATTCGGTTACATATTCCTTGAAAAATACAGGTTTAAAACTAGAAAATGTTTAAATTATTGTAGTTAACGTTGCGACATATACTTAGAGAACCTAAAAAGAGGTTTTTACCATCCCAGGAAATAAATGCCTGGCATTTTTCTCAAGTAGCTAAAATTGAAAGTAAATCAGCGATTTCTCTGTCCTAGTTCATTTAAATTCAAGAACTTCTGCAACATGGTTTATTATGATGTTGATTTCTGTATGTGTATAGCTGAACTTCCAATCTATCCACATTTTCTACAATGCAGCAACTTTAAGTTCAACCTAATAACTCAATGTGAGGGCCGGGCCTTCATTAGAGGAAGTTGGTTATCAATAGTGTTTCTTAATAGGATGGGGTATTGTAGAGTTTTTAAAAAATATATATGTATAAAGTTTTATGACTCTTAGTTTTTAATTCTGGTTTCAGTGATTGAGATTCCTTCCATGTGGCTCATTGTAACTGACCACTGGTTCATAATTTTTTAAAAACTTTTCAGGCGTACAAATCCATTTGGAGAATCTGGAGGAGGTACAAAATCTGAAACTGAAGGTAAAACAGACGTGCAATATTCCTATATTTTAGAAATTCTTAGCAGTAAACTGGGAAGAATTTGTTGTTTACATGTATTCTGCTGTATGCTGTTTTAATAGTATCTTTACGTCATAATTTTCTTTTTACTCATAGTATACTTAAAGCAACAGAACTTAATTGGACTTAATAAGCTTTTGTTATTTACACAAAATTAAAGCATATCATACTTTAAACTTCATAGTCAAAGTCTCAATGTATAAGATATCCTTTAAGCTTCTCCTAATAGCAGATGTTTTCTTCTGGTCCTGGAGCACAACTTTTATTTTTTTCAGTAGCTATTTATTTTTATATAATTTCAAACAGAAAAGCTGTAATAATAGTTCCAGGAATTCTTTTTACTCAGAGCCACCAGTTATTGAAGTATAACCTTTGCTATTTGAATTCGAGACCTTAATTTTTCTGTAACTTGAACATTGTAGTTGACAGTTATTTCTAAATACTTTTGCTAGTTTGAATTTTTCACTGGAAAATCTAAAAGGCAGTGTGTTTTATTCTTTGGGGAAAGAAATGTGCAATTTTTAAAAATTGTACCTTGTTCTGTTGTAGATTCTATTCTTCATCAGTTATTTATTGTTCGATTCCTTGGTTCCATGGAGGTGAAATCAGATGACAATCCAGATGTTGTTTATGAAACAATGCGCCAAATCTTAGCTGCCCGGGCCATCCATAACATCTTTCGTATGACAGAGTCACATTTATTAGTCACTTGTGATTGTTTAAAGTAAGTAATAGCCTCTACCTCAAAAAACTGTATGAAAAAATGTTTTCATAATTTCAGCCTCATTAAAATTATTTTTCCAAATTATTATTATTATAGGTTAATTGATCCACAGACACAAGTTACAAGGCTCACAGTGAGTTCTACATGTTTGAAGCTTTCAGTCTCTTTGTGCATATATACTTCTTACATCTTTATGATAATCTTGATTTTATGTATTCGGATATGGTAGTAACAATTATAATTGGTCTTTAGACTTTTATAATTAAGTCTATGGCCATCTCTCCAAAAAAGTTATTATTGAACAATCCATATAACATAAAGAATGATACGTAGTGTTTATCTCTTAGCTAGGAAGCATATATCATATACTAAAGAAACTAACAGCAGAAATTAAAAGTGGAACATGATTGAGTTTATTTTATAATTAGCTATTTTGAAATAGTTGCAAGTATTTGTGTTTATTTAGTCATTTAATAATATAGACCACTTTTGTTATTGAATTTGACTTTATAAAATATATTTAATGACTAATGAAACAAATTCAGTATTCGACAACCTCTCCTTCTGCTTGGCAGTCCAAACCAAATATAACATTATTTGTTCTCGGATTACCATTACGTTAAGAAAAAATATTGACTAATGTTTTATTTTTTGATTTTTGTACCTTAGCACGAATGTATCATTTATAAAAGTGCTGTTGTAATGTCTTGAAAAAATCTCACATTTGCTTCTGATGTTTTCTGTGGCAGTTTCCATTACCCAGTGTAGTTTTGTATGCTACACACCAGGAAAATAAGAGGCTTTTTGGATTTGTTCTTCGGACATCTGGAAGGAGAAGTGAAAGTAATCTGTCATCTGTCTGCTATATCTTTGAATCAAATAATGAGGGGGAAAAGGTACCTGGCTTTTCAAAATGTGTTTCTTTTGTGAAATACATAGCATAGTCAAAGTTCTTACTAAGATTTCTGGAAAAAAACTTAGAAACTTTGCCTAGTCCTGCTGAGTTGTTTGACCAAAGCCTATTGCACTGAAGACAGCTGAGCTAATGGGTTGGGCCTTCTGAATTCTTAGACCTATATCTTCCTAGCCATTGATAGCTGGTGAATCTTCTGGCCTCATTAATTTATCCCGGGAATGCAATATATTCCCATAATCAGCCATTTTCAGATGTCTTCAGCTTAGAGCATCAGCAGCAGCTGCTCGCTTCATTCTTTACAGACCTTACTATTCAGGAATGAATTTGAGATAACAAGAAGTGGATTATATGAAAGAGGTGACAGCTGGCAGTTGAAACTCACAGACTCTGAAGAAAATACACAAAGGCTTGGTTTGGGGGCTGGAACATTCTTAAATCAGCTTTTGTTTGAAGCAGTGTATTATAAGGAGTTATAAAACTAGTTACATCAACCATTTAGATACTTGAAATTATTACTTTGTTGTGAGAACTGGCTGAGTTTTTCCTACTTTTTTCTCCTTTTAGATTTGTGATTCTGTTGGACTAGCAAAACAGATAGCTTTGCATGCAGAACTGGTAAGAATTCAAGACACTTGATTAAGACACTTAATTATCCGAGAATGTTAACTAAAGTAATATAAAATTTTTCATACTAACAAATAAAGTGATTTTGCTAAGCAAGATTAACATTGGATACTATTGCTTATATAGCATTTTGAATTTGGATAAATGGCTAACAGAGAATGTAAATTTTTGGTGTGCTTTCTCATATAAATGCAAAAAAAGTTTTGAAAAGATTACAAAGCTCTAATAGTAATTGAAAAGTCTAAAATTTTAAGTTATTTCATATTTAACTCATTAGTTGTATTCATCTGTTCTTCAGGATCGTAAGGCATCAGAAAAACAAAAAGAAATAGAGAGAGTAAAAGAGAAGCAACAGAAAGAACTCAGTAAACAAAAACAAATTGAAAAGGTATGCAGTCCTAATGTCTGGATCTTCTCTGATGTGATCTTTGTTGAAGAGTTTCTTTAATTCAGCATTGTGACTTTGATTTGAATGAAGGTCTGTTTCTGATTGCTCACCTACTTCATAACCAGATGATTCATAGCATAGCAGAAAAGGATGGCATCTGTCTTCTGATATGATGTTTACATTGTAGTTTTACTGACATGTAATTTGCCATTTAGCAAACTTACCAGAACTTTTATGTTTTCATATTACAGTGCAGGCTGTCTCTGTCAAAGCAGGTCTTTTGAGAGGTTCTCTCATATGTATATAAACTTAACTGCCATTTCTGAAAGCCACATTGGCCTTTAGGAAAAAAAATGTGTGTTTGTGTGTATGTATTTAATGTTACCAGGAGTGTCAAATTATTGTCCATCCAACAGGATAATTTTAAGCTTGACAAATTTCAGAACAAAATCTGGAGCATGTATTAGATAGGTGATACATGAGTTTGTAAGAGCCATTTATGGGTTGTGGTATTGTCAGTAGCAGTGAAAAAGAGATAACTGTAGGATACTTAATGAGAACAGATCAGCAAGAATTAGCAATGGATTGGATGTATGGACAAAGGGAAGTGGCAAAGATGACACTAAAGTCAAGGCTTCCTTGACAGGTTAGGCTGAGGGAAGGTGACAACTGATTTAGCAAGATAAATTGGAAAAAGTCTGCTGAGTGGGAGTGGAGGGGATATGCAGTGAACCATTAAGAGCCTTTTACTATATAGTGAGAGATAATGATGGCCTGAATTTGGTTATTGACCATAAAAATGGAGAAAAGGGAAATGTTGGCTTTTATGGGATTTCTAGAATGGTACCAGAATTTACTTTGGTGTGGCATTGGTTGTGTGTAGCCTTTCTTTTCGGTAAGTTGCCAGAATTATGCATACAGAAGGATTGAGGTGGTTTTCAGGTATTTTAACTATGTAGTTTTCCATTTTCTTACAATTAACTTAGTTTCTTTTTTGTCTTTTCCACTAGGACTTAGAAGAACAAAGTCGGTTGATAGCTGCTTCCAGTAGACCAAACCAAGCAAGTAGTGAGGGGCAGTTTGTTGTCCTTAGCAGTAGCCAGTCAGAAGACAGTGATTTGGGAGAAGAAGGGAAGAAGAGAGAGTCAGAAGCATAAATTTACCCTTTTGGTTGATAATTCCCCCCTTGGAATTTATTGACAATTTCTGTGGTGAAATGGCACAAGGTAACAACTATGTTGAAATATCAAGGAGGAGACAAAGTTTATATTTGCTTGTTTGTTTTAACTTCATTTTAAGAAATAAGATTGACCTCGATGATTTAGGTTTGCATTGATTTTTTTCTCAAAAATAATATACTGTGCAGTAACATCAAATTCCACATGTATAAAAAGAAACCTGTTTATCTTACTGAATTAGATTGCTGAGGGATTACACTTGCTCAAGCCTTTTTTTCTTCAAATTGTGAATTTATTATCTTGCATTGTAATTTGCTACGACTTTAAGAAATCATTTATTCTTCAGCTTCAGATATTCATGGTTACGCTCCCTCTCTTTTATTAGGAACATTTTGTTGGCAGTGAGGAAGCTTCTCACTGAATAGGTTCAAAATTCTTTATACAGATAATTCAAGTTTGCAAATATTTTAACAATATTAAATGTGCAATAGAACTTTTATAAAATAATTAGAACAGAGATTTTAGACTTAAAGTTTTAAATTGTGGCAGGTGGTACTGTTGATTTCAGGGCACTTTCTTGGATTGCTCACATTTCTCTGATGTACTACACCTGATGCCAATGGAAAAGAGCTTAAGTGTCTTCAGTTCAATATTGATATAGCCCTTGACATTTTAATATTACATTCTTAGTTCTCAGGTTGGAACTTGAATTATTGCTGCAGAGCAGTAATGGTTAAAATAAGATTTTAGAATTTATTAAAAGGGATTTTTTTTTTGTTTAAACACATTTTAGATTAGGACTTAACATGTAAAGATATTGTTACAGGATAATACATTGTATTTTCTGCATTGAGTGAAATAGTTTTTATTGAAAATCAAGTGACATTTCAAAAGAAGTTCTATAACAATTGTTTTCTGCTTAAAGTAAAAATTCCCAGAGATTTGTTTAGAAAATCTTTTAAATTTCAGACTGATACCCCTAGTATTTTCATAATCCCATGTTTTGATAAAATACTGATCACTACTTTATATCCACAAAAGCAAATAACTAATATATGGTAATAGAATAATTTGCACTAATTATTATAAATACTTGTACTCTTCAAATGAGCGAAAGGTCTAATTCCATGAAAGATTGAAGAGAAATTGAATGCTTGGTATAGGAGAATTGACCAAGGAAGGAATTTAGGTTGGTGTTAAGTTAAAATGACATTTCTCTACTGCCTACTTGTATGCCAAAACTTGATTTTTTTCCCTTTCCCCAATTTAAGATTGCTTATAGAAATTATATTCCTGTGTTTCACATGTAGAAGTATATATAGACAAGTTAAATATATCGAATAAACTATTTTACATAGTCATACATTTAAATTTTTAAGAGATTAGTTACTAAAATTAATTTTACAAGAGAAAAAGCCTTTTCTTAATATATATACAGTTTTTCTTCTTAGTTCTGAATTAGAAATGGTATCTGTTTTAGTGCTCACAATGTAGTGTGGCTGTTTCACACTGTATGTACACTATTTTCTGTAGGAATGGGATAGGTAGTTATATATAGGACCATGATATTCTTTTTATCTATGTGCCAAATGGGAATAATGATTACTTGATAATCATTATTTTGAAGCCTTATGTTACCAAAATATTTAGTGAAAAAGTGGAAATTTATGGAATACTTTTTGAAAAAAGTTTATTTTGTGCTTACACTAAAGGGAATACTTTCACAATAGCTTGTGTATTGTTCCTTTTATGGAAGTTGAAATTCTGTGGTCAGCACTTGATTAGTCATGGCAAGTTATGCTTTTGAGGCCTTTTCGAAAATTAGTAAGCTTTCTGTTTGTCTTTTGTTTAGATTATTAAAATTGTCACTTCACTTAGCTCCGATGAAACATGTCACCCTACAAGGGAGGTAGTCAGCATTAGGAGGCAGTTTTACTAGGCTGGTGCTTTATATGGTAGCGAAGTGCTACCCTTTGTTAGCACTCTGTGTCAAAGTGCAGGCTAGAGTTAAGGGTATTGGCAGATGTAGGGATGCTGGACAGACTTATAGTTCCTTTTAAGTTATGTTTTAATAGGAATTTCCACAATAACACACCCATGTCCATAGGTCAGGCCAAAGTGCATTCCAACACCACACAGAAGTAGGTGTGGGTTTAATAATTTTAGATGACTCACCTTCTGTTCCTTACTACAGTGCTATATGAACTATTCCATCACTGCAAATATTTAAGCATCAACTTTAATAAACTCTCCTTTTTATTTAAAGAAGGCTACCCATGGGTTTCTGCGTGACGTTAAAGCTGATCTTTGTTATCCTGTGAAGTGTCTTTTAGCTCTGAGATGGTTTGGTGTTAACTGAATTAGATTTTGGGATCTCTTTCTCAGATTCAAACTTACACTTAATGTTTTTTGGGTTTTTTTTTTTTTTTTTTTAGAAATTAACAAAACTGATTCTTTAAAGAAATTAAGTCTACCTAATTCTGCTATGCACTCTGCTAAGGGTGAACAGTACTTTTGTAACTATAGTAATGAAGTCAACAGATTGGAAACAAGTTATTCTTTCTCTCTTTTCAAAATTTTCAAAAACTTGCTAATAAGGGATTGAAACTGTTATCCTCAAAGTCAGTCTAGTTTTTGCAGTATCTGTAATGATTGCTTTGTGTTTAATTTCAAAAGAATTCTCAGGCTCTATAGTCATGGAGTGGTAGATTTATTTTACCTTTATGCTTGGTGTGCATAACATTTTATGTAACATATAATCTTGTGTGGTAAAGGCATGGGAGTTAATTTTGACATATATGGGAACTCGAAGTATTTAAAATTTAACTCTTTTTATAAGATAGACAGACCCTATTGAGCCCATGTATTAGAAAACCTTCTGCCACCTGAATTAATAAAATGAAAATATTAACATAGGTTTTGATAACAACCTTCTAGCATTCAGACTATACTTTAAATATTCAAACATACAGTAGCAAGCAAGCCTTTCATTTTATTTTTGGCAAGTTTGGCTTACTCCTTCATGAGATTTTGTTCTACATTAATAAATAATACATAAAAATTTGAAACTGGAACTATATTATACTTTTTAACCAATCTCTTTCAGCTATATTAATATGTAATTTACTTCAGTTAATATGAGAACTGGGGATTAAGTTATAACTAATGTGCAAAACTGCTTTGTATATTTGGTGATTTTGTAATGTAAGTGAATTGGTTAATTCTTATTTCACTAGTACTATTAATTATGCAGTAAACAATTAAAAATCATGCTACATTTACCTTTAGAATTGGATTTGAAGAACTCAACTTTATGTAATGGTGGTATACATGTGGGGTGGAGAATTTATTTTTTCATTTTGTCAAAATAGATATTCCCTGACAAGGTTTCAGGAAATATGCTGTTAGGAGACTTTTAATGTATAATAAAGTCTATGATTTTTCTACAGTCATTTTTGTATGAAATATTTGACAGCTATTCTGAATTTTATTTCTCCAAGTAATTTCAAATGATGCTTATAAACAATTGAACTTTTTCTTAATCTGTTATGACACCATAATTCCATATTTGGCTTATTGCAATTCTGTAACAGCTAAAATTAAAAAAATTTTTTTTTCACTTATTGAAAAGTAACACTAATTTATCACTGGTGACTTTTTATTTTCTTTTAGAAAAATAAAGGGACTTCTCCATAATTACCCTAAACATGTTACAATGTAACAATGTATACTTGCTCTGTTTGGTTCTATTTAAAGAAATTTCTACTGTTTAAAGGGGCAGGTTATTATGTATACCAGCTTCAGTGTCTCAGGCCTGTAGTTTTAATACTAATACATATTCATCTAATGTGTTCTTTATAGTTTCCTATAGCACTTAGCAAGTTCTTTTCTTCTACTGGGAGTTTCTGTTCTAACTTGTTTTGAATTTTATCAAATGTATATATACTTTTAAAAGGCCCGGGGAGTGGGTGAAATTAACTTTAGAATTATGTGATTTATCAGATATAAGTGCATGTAGCTCCTAAATATATTTGTATATTAACATACATATAATTCACACTCACTTATAAAGATAATACAGTTTGCTTTAAAAAATAAAAACTATTCATGCCAGCTAGTTTTGCAAAATTTTTATGAGAATACTATTATTAAAAATTATTTTAAGTCTTTGCTTACTGAAATAGTCTATATAGCCACGATTCCCTATATAAGAAGGAAATCATATAACTTCAGTTTACCTAAGGTGGATTATATTATGCTAAAAAAGTGTACTAAGACTACACGTGTAAACATTAGGCTATAGCTGACTGGGCCTCTGGTGAAAATGGACTACATCATCCTACCTCCTTATTCTCTGTGTCATCTAAATGCTACACAGGTGTAGTTGAGTGTCTTTTCAGTTTCTTTCCTCCCTTTATATTCTAAACCTATATATTCTATGCAGCATAGAATGTATAGAAATAAAATTGAAATTAAGATCCTTTAACTGCTTCTGTAAGCAGGTCCCTCCTATGTGTCCAGTACTGGACTAGTCAGCTCAATGTAGAAGTTATAAGTCATCATCCATTTGAAAACACTTGTAATTTCTCTTCCAGTAATCATATTAATCAGTAAATTGTAACACTTAATTAGAGTTTTGTGTAAAGAAGGGATGCATGCAATCGAAGGTTTTATTTCAGTTAACTTAATTACCCCATCTCAATACTGGACTCTACAAGTAAACAGACACTAAGCTGGCCTTGGGGACTTTTGTACAATATCTAACATCTAGGTCATGTACTGGAGTCAGTATTTATTCAGTGCAAACACTAAGACATTTTATATACGTACTTCTCTATAAAAAAAGATTACTGTTAAGAATTGAAATATCAGAGATTGCACCTATTATTTTGAGCATGTAGAAATGTGGATTTATATACTTTAATATATGATCAATATACAGTTAGAACTGATATATTTCAGTTAATTGAAATTTTTACTGTTTGGTCTTGTTAAACTGCCTTTCAGGATGCTAGCCATCTCTATATTGAAAGACTATGTTCAGACCAACTTTTAAAAAAATGAAGACTGCATTGAGATTTTAGTTGCTAGGTAAAATGAGAAATATGAATCATATGCAACAAGTCAAATTTTAAGAAATACAGCTACAGAACTATACCTTTCCATCCAGAATATTTTACCAGGTTCCTGTAAAAATTCCTTGTCCGTAAAGGTCATATTCTTTATAAAGGACATATGCTTTTAGACGATTTGGTAATGGAAGAAATGACATGAAGACAGGGCATCGCAAATGCAAACGTCCCATACACTTCCGGATCTTTAGGCGGCACAGATGTTTTAGGGAGCGAGGGTTTGCTAAAATGAAAGAAACAGGCACATTATTCAAAAGGAAAAAATTGAATTTTTAGTGATTTTAGGGTTTAGTTAGCAAATGTATTTTATACTTAAGCCACCAAGATTTTCATTTGCTGTGACAAAATGGAAAAGTGTATAAGGAAACAACTTTTTACTTCTCATTGCAAACCTCATAGATATGGTTTCAGAGCCACGTCAAGTTAGAGTCCAGAGACTGGCACCAATTGCAGGTCTGGCCTGTGAGTCTTGAAGTTCTTAAATCTGTGTGTATTAACCCTCTCACCCCCAGCCTGTCTTGCCTCTTGGGGTCAGGCTAAAAACTAAAGATCACTACCCAGGAAAAAAATGAAAAAGATTCTTCTTAATTTGACTTATGTGCTACTGTGAAAGAATTTGGTTTGAAGGGTCATTCGTTAATCTCTGTAGGCTTAGATCTTATCTTTTTCTCATCTCTGTTTTTATTGCCATTTCATAGCTTTTAATCTCGTTGTTTATAGTGTTCCATAGGATTAGGAGGAAAGTATTACCTACCTATATAATAAGTAGTTAGCTAACAGATTTTATTTATTGGGATATGGTAGTAAGTACAAATCAAGTGTAGTTATAAACAGTAACATTTTTTAGATAGGAATAGTATTTTTCTTGGTTTCTTTAGGTCAAGCTTTTAAGAGTGTTCTACAGAACAAATAAAAATACAATTAGTATTTTTGGTAAGAATCTTGTACAAGAAAGAAAGATACTCACTCAAGATATTATGGATTTCTGACCAGAGCACCTGTTTTTGGAGCACAGCTTTCAACTTTGAACAGATCTGAACTTGATCAACATAATCAAGCATTACTCGAACAACCATTCCAGAGAGATGTTGCAGCCATGACAAAGTTATTACTTCACAAAACTGAGGAAGAAAATCAGAATTATGAAAGTAAATGAAAAACTATTTGGGGGTTAGCATAGTAATCAAAAGAGCACTAAACTGAGAATCCAAGGTCTCAAGTTTCTCATTTATAAACTAAGGAATTGAGCAAGAAAATGTTTCTTAGCTCTAACATTTGGAAAAATATTTACTATGTCTTTAGACCTATGTAAGATGTAATGAAGGTGTGAAAGTGACTTACAGAATATCATTCAATTTGGCCACATGGCTATCTGGAATAAAGATTACCTTTCTAGCTTCACTTGCACCTAGATGTGGCCACCTGAGTTCTAGCCAATGAAATGGAAATGTGAGCAACTCCCAGAATGCCCTTAAAAAAGAGCACGGGGTGTGATGCTTCCTCATGCCTGCCTTTCTGTTGGCTGGGATGTTGATGCAAGTTTCTCTTGTGAATCATGGGCTGTCTAATTAGAATTCTATTTACTTCTGGCCTTTATGTGAAAGGGGAATGAGCCATCTTACTAAAGCCACTCTGGATTTTAACCTACTCCCACCTTGATACTCAAGGGATATGATAGTTTCTGTCTTTAATTTACATGCTCTTAGACAAAATGCCCATATGAGAAGTAATACTAGATGACAATTTAGAAAATATGACATATGCCTAAGTACCAAATCCTACATTAATCATAACCTAAAAATAATAAATCATACAATATTAAAATATTTTTTCTTTCACTTTTCAGAATTGATTCATTTTTATTTCCAGGTGTTAACAAGAATTTCTAGTGCATCTACTGTGTGCTAAGCAAGCATGGATCTGTAGGTTAAGGAAAGTGGTGAACAAGAGTTTTACATTTGTGTATTTGGGGGAGAGAGACATAATCGGTACAGTTTTAAGAAGATAATTTCAGAAAGTGATAAGTGCTATAAAAGAACAGTATTAAAAGAGAGTGATTAGGGAAGGAAACCACCTCAGGTATGGGCTTCTTTGAAGAATTACTTGAAATGAGATCTGAAGGGTGGCAGCTATGTGAAAAGTTGCGGGGAAGAGCTGAAGTTGGGGAACTGGATAGGGGGAAATGAAATAAACTGGTGTGATGGAATTCAAGAGAAAATGTCTCAAGGGACTGGTATCATGATTCTTTTTTCATCAAAAAGGTGACTAAAAACCATTTAGTCAAATGTTAGAGCTAAAAGAATAAAAAACCTATGGAGACAGGTATTGGAAACCCAGAAGCATTTTAGCTGATAACACTTATTCAAAGAAAAAAATCATAATTGTTATACAAGACTGCATTCATTCTTCAAAAATATGGCTCAGACGTTGCTTCATTTGTAGAACTACCTAGGTTGAGTTAAATTACTGTTTTCCTCTGAATTTTCTGTACCTTTTACATTTGTCTATTACTGTGTTTATCATATATTAAAATCCCAACAATGAGTTGCAGAGAATGGATGGAGTCTTATCTATTTCTGTAGTTCGGGGCCACCAATAATGACTATATAAGGTGATACAGTTGATACTGTAGACTTACCATAGTATCTTTGATAACTGTAGGTGTCCAGCCTTCAAAAGCATAGAAAAGATGAACTTTGTCTCCATGAGGACAATCAAAGCATCGCTCTGTGTCATATCCATAATTCAACAGCATCCTGAGCATGACTTCGTCTTTCAGTGTGTATTGCAGTGCTGATGGGAAATGTAAAGGATTGACTCTGCAGAAGTAATTTACATTGGCTCCATGCCGTAGCAGCAGATTTATCATCTCATAATTGCCCATCCTTAGGGCTATCTGGAGGCAGTTAACCGGGTCTTGATTAGGCAGAGCTCCAGCACTCAGAAGCAGCTTAACTGAAGAGAGGTCACCATTTGATACAGCAAAATACAAAGCTGACTTCCTGTGGTCATCATAGTGTTTACGAATTCTCTGATCTAGCATGAAATTTACATCAAATCCAGCCTGGATGAGAAATTCCAGACATTCAGGGTGTGCTCCTGCGGCTGCACAGTGAACTGGACTGATGCCACTCTGCTTAATAGCAGCAAAATCCGTAACTGGAACCAAAATCTTTAAAGCTCTGAGAAAGAATTTCAAAGTGCATTTACAAATAGTTTTTGTTAAGATCCAGCATTAACATATTTATGATTGTTTTATACTAGCACTGGATGGTATTAGTATTAAGTAGTACTTAGAACACAAAACCAAAAACATAATTCCTAAATCCAAAAGCTCAGAAATCAAGTAAAGCTAAATGAAACTACTATCTAGATTATAAACTCAGAATTAGCCTAGTCAGTGAGACTTGAGGTTCTTCAGATTGCTTAAGGACCTGATAGTAAAATAATTCTATGTCTCTTCATAAGAATATGCCTGATTTTACCAGTTTCTAGCTGGTCAAGAGTTTTTCTATAAAAATAGAGTTATAGGATCAGAGATGAAGAATATAAAGTTCCCAGAAGCTATTCAAAAAAAAAAAGTAGCTATAATTTCTACTACTTAAGATAATGTGATTGAACTTACAACAAATGGCCTTTGTCAGCTGCCACGTGAATGGGCAGGTGGCCTGAATTCTTAGGGATGTTGGCATCAGCTCCATGCTCTAGCAAGAGAGCCACAGAGTCTGGATTTCCTCCACTAGCAGCTTCAAGTAAGATGGAAGAAGAATCAGAGGCCTGACCAAGAGCATTAGCGCCTAAGAGGAGAAAGAGTCTTGTTATGCTAAAAGTCTTTTCAACTGTATTACTTAAGCATTCTTAACAATATATCACCACCACCACCACCACCACCACCACCACAAAAAAAGCAATTATTGAGCAGCCACTTGAGCAAAGCACTAAGAATCAAAGAAAATAGGCATCTCCTGCTCAAGCAGTTTATAATCTGGTTGGGAAGGGCGAAAATGTTACAGTCTCTAAATTATAAGTAGGTTGGCTTTCAGAGTAATTTTAGAAGTTACTCATTTGGAACTTGAAAATTGGAGGAGAAATAATTCTATAAAAGGTTCTATTTTTAGACTAGTTTACAAAAGCACACAACTCATAACACTTGTATATAGGATGGTACTAACAATCCTGTTGGACTATATCACCATGCCATCTATGGATGTTGTGGTGGAAAGGGGCATATTTTTTCTGTTCTTACAGGGCTGTTCATAGTAAGAGACAATGTAATTGTTTTCAGTTGAAGTTGGGGACTGCTTATAGTTAAAAGGATAAATTGTAGCACTCTGTATGCAAAGTGTCATGTGAGCGGTGTGGGTAATAAAAGTACAGGTGTATCTCAGAGATATTGTGGATTCAGTTCCAGACCACTGCAATAAAGCGAGTATTGAAATAAGTCATAATCTTTTTGCTGGTGGAGGGTCTTGCCTTCAATTTGTAAAAAACACATTTGTGAAACAAAGCGAAGCATAATAAAATGAGGCATGCCTGTATAGGTATAGGCAAAATGTCCTCTAGAAGATCTCAGGGCTAGGGTTGGGGGGTGGGGTGCTGAAGAAAAACAAAGGAGTTTGGACTCAGTTGTGGAAGACCTCTCAGTAAGATGGGCTTTGCAAAAAGAATAGCATTTGAATGGACGAAAGGAGAACATTCTGGGTATATTCACAGTTCATATAAAAAAGATGTAGTGATTTTAGCAGACTCCACAGTCATCAGAATATAGCGGCTGCCGAAGGACCTCATTCCTAGACCGCATTAAGAAATGTCTAGCACTGTCAAGATGGTGAAGTAGGTAAATGTGCTTGCCTCCTCTCACAACCACATCAAAATTATAACTAAACCACAAAATAGCCATCATTAGGAGTCACCTGAAGTCTAGTTGAACAGAAGTCCTACAATTGGGGACACACAGAAAAGGTCACCTCAAGACTGGTAGGAGGGGTGGAGATAGAGCAGGCTGGTCCCACACTCATGTGAGGTGGTTGAGAATCAGGAAGAATATCTTGGCTGCAGAGATCCCTCTAGAGAGGCGAGGGGTCCCAGCCCCACACTGGGCTCCCCAGCCTAAAATTCTAGTGCCTATAACATCTGGCTGTAAAAACCTGAGAGATTGTGGCTGAGTAAGATGGAGGGCTGCTGGAGTCACAGACATTCCTCTTAAGGAACCTGGGTGTAGATTTAATCGCTGACTGACTCATTTGCTCTGACCTCCAGCACTGGGACATCAGCTGGAAAGCACAAGGGACATAAAAGGAGGAACTGAGCTGTAAACATCAGCCAAGGCTCAACTACACAGGAGGGCACACACAACCCATACAAGACACACCTGGAGCACTTGGCTTAGGTTACCAGGGAGACTTTGCCACTGGTCCCCACAGGACACCTACTACATAAGCCCAGTCTACTAAGATCAGAAGACATAGCAGCCCTATCTAATACATAGAAACAAGCACAGGGAGGCAGCGAAAATGGGAAGACAAAGATGTCCCACACGAAAGAACAGAACAAAGCTCCAGAAAAAGAACTAAAAATGAAGGCAAGCAATTGACCAGATGCAGTGTTCAAAATACTTAGGTTATAAAGGTGCTCAATGAACTTAGGGGAAGAGTGGATGAATACAGTGAGCACTTTAACAAAGAGATAGAAAACATAAAAATGGAGATAGAAAACACACAAAACAGAAATGAAGAATACAATAACAATACCTTAGGAGGAATCAACAGTAGATTAGATGAAGCAGAGGATCAAATCTTGATTTAGAAGATAAGGTAGCAGAATACACCCAATTGGAACAGCAACAAGAAAAAAGAATCCAAAAAAATGAGTATAGTTTAAGGGGCCTCTGGAACAACATCAAGCGTACTTTCGCATCATGGGGGTAACAGAAGAAGAGGGAGACTAAGGAATTAAAAACCTATTTTAAGAAATAATGACTAAAAACTTCTATAACCGGGCAAAGGAAATAGACATATAAGTCCAGGAAGCACAGAGAATCCCAAACAAGATGAATCCAAACAGGCCCATACCAAGACACATCATAATTAAAATACCAAAGGTTAAAGTCAAAGAATTTTAAAAGCAGCAAGAGAAATGCAGTTAGTTACCTACAAGGGAGCCCCCATAAGACTAGCAGCTGATTTCTCAACAGAAACTCTTCAGGGAAGGGATTGGCAGGAAATATTCAAAATTATGAAAAACAAAGACCTAAAACCAAGATTATTCTACCCAGCAAGGTATCATTTAGAACTGAAGGACAGATAAAGAGCTTCCCAGGCAAGGAAAAGTTAAAGAAGTTTATCACCACCAAGCCAGTATTACAGGAAGTGTTGGACTTTTTTAAGAAGAAGAAGAAAAAAAGATTAAAAATATGTATAGTAAAATTGCGATAACTACATATCTACCAACAATTACTTTAAATGTAAATGGATTATATGCTCCAATCAAGAGATAGGGTAACTGAATGGATAAGAAAATAAGACTTACATATGCTGTCTATAAGATACTCACTTCAGATTGAAAGACGGTTAGAGAATGATGTTTTATGAAAATGGAAACAAAAAGCTGGGGTAGCAATACTCATACCAGACAAAATAGACTTTAAAACAAAGACTATAACAAGAGACAAAAGAGAGCTCAGTTATTTCACTTTTGGGCATTTATCAGAAAAAGCCCCAAACAGTACTTTGAAAGGACATATGAATCCATATGTTCATTTCAGCATTACCTACAGGAGTCAAGATATGGAGGCACCCTGGGTGTCCATCAATGGATGAATGGATAAAGAAGAGGTGGTATGTATATACAATGGAATATTACTCAGCCATAAAAAACAAATGAAATCTTGCCATCTGTAACAACATGGATGGACTTAGAGGGTATTGTGTTGAGTAAGTCAGACAGAGAAAGACAAATGCCACATGATTTCACTTATGTATGGAATCTAAAGAACAAAATCAAACAAAAAAACTCATAGATACAGAGAACATTTTGATTGTTGCCAATGGGAGGGATATTGGGGGTGAAAAATGGGAAAGGATTAAGAAGTACAAGTTGGCAGAAAGAAAATAGTTATGGGGATTAAAATATAGTATGAGGAATATAGTCGTAATATTGTAATAACTATATACAGTGTCTGATGGATATTAGACTTATCAGGGTGATCACTTTGTGAGTTATATAAGTGCCTAATCACTATGCTGTATACCTGAAATTAATATCACATGCCAATTGTAATTTAAAAAATTTTAAAAATTTAAAAAATTTTTAAAAATTATTTTAAAAAATATCTAATAAGCCTCCATGTAATGAGTGCTCACTATGTACTGGTTCCTTTATGTGCATAATTTCTAAACTTCATAATACCCTAAGAAGTAGATGCTAATATCTTCATTTTAAAGATAAACTGAGGCTCACTGAGGATAAGTACTTCTCCAGAGATGCATAGCTAGTAAGCAAGGTAGTTGGGATTCATGTGCTTGTAAGCCAAGCCAAGGGCCCATTTCTCTGATGTCATGTTGCTTTTTGAGCAATGCAGAGTGGTAAAATAATGTGATTTGGAATGAGACAGATATGGATTTATATCTTGGTTCTGGTATTTCCTAGCTATGTTACTTTATGAAAATTACTTTGTTAGAGGGTCACTTAAGGGAAATGCTCACTCACTGACCTCACTTAAGTCAATTGATGCTGGTTTTTTTTGAAGGATTAAGAATTTAAAATCTGTTGGCTCTCCTTTTTTTTTAAAATATTTTAATCAATGATCTATAGAAAAGGTTACTCTTTTTGTATAGAGTTACTCTTTTTATATAGATGTAGGATCCAATGTTTTCTTTTGTTATTCTGGCTAATGACTTAGACATCTCTGGTATTGCTCATTTAAAACGTCTTATGGCCACTGATTGGAAACTAGCTTCCTCTATATTGTAGGAAAAATTTAGATAAGTCTATAAAGTAGAAAGTTCTCAATTCTAGAAGTCCTTGTAGTCTAGAATATTGGAGACCAGAACCATGTATTGTTCAGAAAGAAATAAGGTTTCTGGACACAAACAGGGAGGGAATAAAGACAATTCTAATATTGGGACTTTATTAAGTGTTGGTAAAGATTCGCTGCTTTAAAAAAAAAAAGCTTTAGATACTATCTTGCTTCATCTCACAGTCATCAATGGGGTCTCCTCAAACACGATGAATGCCTGAATACTCAGCCATGTTCTCTGCTAGTTCAACCAGGATCTAAAATAGGATAACATTGGTGGCAGGGGAGGGTATGTTTGAAAGGAAGTTCTGCAACTGGTTCCATCCCTGACCCTCACTTCCCTCAAGTGTAAAATGAGGATAATCCTCACAGGATTTTTAGAAGATTCCATGTGTCAATGTAGATAGTTTAATGCTTGATACTTAGAAAGTATTCAATAAATATAAGTTGCCTTTCCCTTCTCTCAAGGTTTTGGTTATTACTAGAGGGAAGTACTGGGACTCAAAAAAAAGAAATCAGAAAGAATTTTCTAACAACTAAGGTCATTTGATAATAGACTGGACTGCCTCATGACTTAGCTTAAGCAGAGACAACGTGTAGGGGATGTCATAGGGTCTTTCATTCTATGAATCTAGAAAAGGACAACAACATGAAAAGAGTCAAATGTAAAACAGCCATCTTCTCAGCATTGTCAGGGAACATTAAGTAAGAGTAACCTGAATGCATCCTAATAATTTTAGGGAAATTACTTAACACCAAATAAGAAATATTCAACCTCTGACTATTTTAGGCTTTCTAGTCACCAATATTAACATACACTTCTTTCAAATATTTGTAGTAGGCTTAAATAAAACATTAACTTCAATTATTTTGAAGCTCTTCATGAAGAGGAGAACATTTGGGCATGCTACCCCTAGGTAGTATGCTGACTGTAGAGGAAATCTTGCCTTTCTGCAGTAATACTTCCATGATTTCAGTGTGCCCACTTTGGGCAGCAAGAGCAAGAGGAGTGAATCCGTAGGAGCTCTGTGGATCAGGGTGTGCTCCAGAAACCAGCATTAGCTTCACCATGTCCTTTCTGCCCAGCTTGGCTGCTTCGTGGAGAGCTGTCCTCTCGTTGGCACACCGCAGATTGACATCTGCCCCATGGCTGATCAACAAGGCAGCCATGTCGTAGGCATCATGTAGAACAGCTGGGAAATTAAAAGTAAGGTAAGCATTATGTTCAACAGGAAATTAAGGCCCTCAGGCATCTTAAGGAGCTCTTTCTACCTACCTCCATGTGCCAGCACTTTGTGTTTGGAAATGGATTATATAAACTGAGGCATATATCAAATAATGTTAATAGTGTTTTATATCAATAGGCTATTTGTTTTTCTGTAAGCTATGACCAATTATTCATTGCCTATTGGTAGCCTATGTGGTTGAAAAACATAAACATGAAATTTTTATTTATCATCTTTATGTTTTCAAAAGAATTGAGACTTAAGTACTCAGTACAATCCTAGAAATGCTTATAGCTTCTTTAAAAACAAAAACAGCAATAATTAGGAAATTATTTTTAACCTCATGTTTTTTTTAACCAAAATTCTCTAACTGGCTTTTCTGCTATTATGCTGTTAATTCACATTTGGATGATAATCTTTAAGCTTTCAAGATTCTGAAACACATTAATTTATTCATCTCCCTAGCCGCTCGCTAATTATTGGCATCAACTGTGTGTGAGGACCTTTGCCAGGTGCCAGATGCTGAACGAATATGAATTCTGCTCATAAACATTTATAATGTGCCATAGAAAGTACTCTAATTGCTTTAAGACTGGGAATACAAAGTGCCAAGGGTGCTCGGTCTTTTTTAATTCATCGAGCCGGCACTTAGAGTGCCCTTTCATTCTGGAAATACATGTCCTTTGATTTAGGAAATCATTTTCTTGACTTATTTCAATGATAATATACTGCCTCCATTTTGTCTGTTCTCTTTCTAGCATTCCTATTATTCAGATGTTGCTCTTCTTGGATTGTCCTTCCAGTTTTCTTATTTTTTTTCCTTTCCTATTTTCTATTTCTTATCTTCTGGAAGCTTTCCTAAACTCTATCTCCCAGCATTTGTTTTGAGTTTTTTATTTCTACTATCATATTTTTAATTTTCAAGAGCATTTTGTTTTGTTCTTTGATTTTTTTGGTACTATCTGTTATTTCATTAATTTTCATAAATTTCTCTGAAGAAATGAATAATTCTCCATTGTATTTTATTTTCCCTAAATAAACTCTGTCTTCCAAGTTGTTTATATCTGTTGAAGACTTTCCTCAGATAATCCTTGGCTATCTGCTTATGATTAAAAGTTGCGGACTAAAAAGCTGATTGGAAATTCTAAACATTGGGTGGGGCTTGTGGACTGTGGTCTTAACTATAGGTTGATATGCCTGGGTCATTTGTTGGGGAATCCGTAATTTCACTATCTTTAGTTCTTTCTTTTTGCGCTGATCAAATTCTCCGGAGAAGCCTCCTCTTAGAGGGTAAAGTTCTGCCTGTCAACTTTTAGAATCCTGGTGAAGGAGAAGGGGCAGGAGGTGTTAAGTAATTAAGCCAATGTTAGCTTAATTCCATTTAATGTTTTCAATCTAGAACTCCTACCCTTCCCTAATATCCCTCAGTCCAGAAAACCTTTGTTTAAACTATCTAGAGAATAAATCTATGGAATTTTGTTGGGGTTGGAAGGAGTCTGTCCCAGCAGAGTGGATTGGGAGGAACGATCTAGAGATAAGACTACTGGTTTCTTAATAGTTTTCAACCAATCCTCCTATTTTAGCTGCCTGTCCTTCACCTGTGCTCCATGTGGTAACTATTGCCAATAATTTTCCTGCTTTTTGATATAATTGTGCTGGTTTTTGCTTTTCTCTCTACCAATTTAAGATTTGGCTTTCTTGTCACTATTCATCCATCTGCTCTCCAGGTTTTAAAAAATCATGCTATTGTCTCCTCTCTTGTTTTTCCCGTTCTTTTGTATCCTATTTTCTTAAGAAAATAACTATAATTTTAGTGAAGACTCAAGAGGGAGCAAAATTAGTCATTTGTATTCAATCTGCCATCTTTACTGACCACTGGCTGCTGCTTCCTACTTTGCTCCCCACTTATATTTCTTACACTAGAATCAACTGGATCAATTAAGGCACCATGCAAAATGGTCAGTTCCTAATTTGGATCAGACCACTTCACAGGTGAGCCTATAGAAGGCTTCTTGAGGGTCAGGTACCTATGCCTGGTCAGCTGGGATAAAGTGACAGTGCTACAACTGTCAAAAAGCTGTCTTTGAAATCTATGGTCATGGAGGATACTCAGAGCCACAGACTCTTCTCTAGAGACAAGGTGTTAATTTACCTGTAAGAAGAGGAGAATTGCCTTCGAAATTCTTGGCATTCGGATTGCAGCCATTGAGAAGAAGAAAACTGACGTTTTCTAAGAGGCAATTGCTGACAGCCAAAAAAAGTGGTGTTTCACCATTGTGGGTGGTTTGCTCCCACACACTGGGTTTCGAAGCTGAAATAAATCCATTAGACCACACAGGTTAAGACATAGAAATAAATTCTAAATTTATTTCTCAGAAGTATCAAGAAAAGTTATAAAGGGAGTTTACCTTTCAGGGTTATTTCCAAAATGTTCTTATTTGATTGCACTGCAGCCTTATGCAGAGGAAGCCAGCCTATTCCATCTGCTTCATCAAAAGCAGAATGGTACTTGGTCAAGTGTGACAATGCATCTTCCTTACCTATTCACAAGTCAAATAAAAACAGATTTGCATGTGGCACACTTACTAGGCAGCCCGTGCTATTTCTGAATTCTACCATTAAGGTTAGTGTATGAGACAACAGAATAGCACCGCCTTTTACGAAAGACATTTAAATGGCATAAGACAAACAAGTAGTAAGGCCTTTCATCTAGCATTCCATACCACCAGGGCCTGTGAATTCCCATCATCTTGTCACATACAGAAAAACAGCTCTGTCCATCAAGAAGCCCAGAAGCTCTTTGCTGAGTTGTGCTGAAGTATTTTCTCTCAGGAAATGCCACATCAGACCCTTGACAAACAGCTGTGGACCCCACAGTGTTCAGCATTCGAGAAAACCTGCCTCTAGGCTTCCTGAACTTAGAGGAAATTCCTGCCATTTGTCATCATTACATCTTACCACAAGTTGAAGGGGCTGGAATAAGAAGAGTACTTAACTGTCGCTATTGTTTCGACTATCTTCTTACAATCAGTGCTCAAAAAGGAATGAAAGCTGCATAGGAAAAAAAAAATGTAATTCCAAAATTTAGGAAAGACAAAGATATTTGATATTAAACAAAAGGAAAGGGTAAAGGCAATAGTAGTTAACCAGGAATGAACAAAAATATAGCAATATTTCCAAAATGTAGTATGACCCTTAATGCATTCCAGGGTGAGGACTATGTCAGAGCCTGGATCACTGCAAGCCCTCAATCAATGTTTGCTTTACTGATTCAAACCTGCCTAGGACTGAAATATCACATTATCAGATGGTAAAACTTAATGGTCACTCTATAATGATTCTAGCAAAAACTTAATGGTCACTCAATGATTCTAGCCAAAATTATTTAAAAATCATGGTGTGAGTTTTAAAAAAATATTCATGGTCAGAATCTGTGCTCAGAAAACAGTATTAGCACTTTTTGAAGTAATATTTTATTAAAATATTTAAAAATAAAGTTTTAAAGCTCACTTATGATTATATTATTTTTAAATCTAGAAATTAAGGACTATCACCTTCCCGTCGTCTTTGATTATTTAATGAACCCAGATTGAAGAGAATAAATTTCCTTAGACAATCTGTCCTACTTACGATTTGGTCAATTAAATTCACTTAAATATTTAAAACTGTACTTAGAGATTTAGTATTGTATTTGTTATGGCTGCTGTGAGGAATTACCACACACTTGGTGGCTTAAAATCGTACAAATTTATTATAATTCTGCAGTTCAGAAGTACAAAATGGGTCTCACTGGGCTAAAATCAAGGTGTTGGTAAGGTTACATTCCTCCTGGAGGCTCTAGGGAGACTCTGCTTCTTTGCCTTTTCCAGCTTCTAGAGGCCTCCTACATTTCTTGGTTCATGGACACCTTCCTCCGTCCTCAAAGCCACATTCTTCTACCCTGCCATCTCTCAGGTTCTCTCTCTTCTGCCTTCCTCTCACTTTCGAGGACTCTTGTGATTACACTGAGCCCACCTGGATAAGCTCTTTATTTCAAGTCAACTGAGTAGCCACTTTAATTATACCTGCACCCTTCTTTTAAATTAAAAATTAAAAATTACTGGGGTGACATTGATTGATAAGATCAAACAAGTTTCAAGTGTACAATTCAACAGTATATCATATATATATTGCATTGTGTATTCACCACCCAAAGTTAGATTTTCTTCCATCACCAAATATTTGACCTCTCTTACCCCTTCCCTCTGGTAATCACTAATCCAGTACACGTCCATGAGTCTCTGTTTGCTGCTTTCAGTTTTATAGCCCACATATGAGTGAAATCATATGGTTTTCAACTTTTTCTGTCTGACTTATTTTGCTTAGCATAATGATCTCAAGATCCATCCATGTTGTTGCAAATGGCAGTATTTAATCATTTCTTATGGCTATGTACCACAGCTTCTTTAGCCAGTCATCTATCGATGAACATTTCAGTTGCTTCCATGTCCTGGCCATTGTGAATAATGCGGCTGTGAACATTGGGGTGCATATATCTTTGCAGATAAATGTTTTCAGGTTTTTGGGGTAAATACCCAGAAGAGGGATTGCTGAATCATATGGTATTCAATTCTTAGTTATTTGAGGAAACTCCATACTGTTTTCCATAGTGCTTGTACCAATTCGCATTCCCGCCAGCAGTATATGAAGGTTCCTTTTTCCCCACAACCTCTCCAACATTTATTATTACTTGTCCTGTTGAGTATAGCCATTCTAACAGTTATGAGATGGTATCTCACTGTGGTTTTGATTTGCATTTCCCTAATAGCTAGTGAAGCTGAGCTTTTTTCCATATGTCTATTGGCTGTTTGTATGTCTTCTTTGGAGAAGTGTCTGTTTAGGTCCTCTGACTATTTTTAAATTGGATTGTTTGGTTTTTTTGTTGTTGTTGAGTTGTATGAGTTCTTTGTATATTTTGGCTATTAGCCTCTTATCAGAGGCATTGTTTGCAAATATATTCTCCCATTTGGATGGTCCCCTCTTTGCCTTGTTGATGGTTTATTTTGCTGTGCAGAAGATTTAGGTTTGATATAGTCCCATTCATTTACTTTTGCTTTTACTTCCCTTGACTTTGAGGTCAAATTCATAAAATCCTCTCTAAATCCAAGGTCCATGAGTTTAGTACCTATGTTTTCTTTTATACAATTTATTATTCAGGTCTTTAATCCATTTTGAGTTAATTTTGGTGTATGGTGATAGACAACAGTCTAATTTAATCTACAGCCTTAGTTATCTATTGCCATATAAGATTACATATTCACAGGTCTGGGAATTAGGATGGGGACATCTTTTTTTGAGGGAGAAGAATTATTTCATCTGTTTCAAGTATGTTCTAGTTTCCTAATTCTTTCAAGTGCCTGACAAAATCAGCAAGCCTTTCTAAATATCATACAATTCTTGCAAATCTAATAAATGAAATTTTTAACTATAGCTAATTATAATTTCTCTGAAACATTTCATTACTCTTAATCAAAATCTCATACCTTTCAATCTAAAATCATGATTTCAAAGTCAGTTACTCAATGAACATGAAAATTTTTAATCACAATGTTAATACAACAGATAATCTAATGAACACAATTTCTTTATAAAACTTTATTTAAAGATTATTTTATAGATTATTCCTAAATTTAATATAAAAGTGTAGCAATAGTGTGGTAAAGAGCACAGACTCTGAGGGCAGGATGCCTGACTCTTTACTTCTAGCTCTATGACCTTGAGTAAGTCACTTCTCTGTGCCTTAGTCTCCTCATCTCTAAATAGGGATAATAATAGTATGCATCACACAGAGAGGTAATGAGAATTAGGATTTAAATGGGTTAATATTTATGAAATGCTTAAAATAGTATGGCACACAGTGATCACTCCATGAGTTTGTTACTAAAAAAAATACTATAGGTTTGATGTACTTCAACATTTCTATATTTAATTATAAAATCTCTTGGGGTTAAAACATATTTACTCAGTTTTATCTCCAGCAGGCAAATAGAGGTCACCATCACAAGCAAACAGGATCCATCACCCCTGAAAAACAACAGTAATTGTGCAGGGGGCTGAGATTGCTGATCAGCCAGAATGTATTTGACTAGGTGATCTTGCTGTAGATAGCCCACTTCCAGGGCAATTTTCTTACATCAAGGGATCCATGGGGTCCTTTCTTAGTGTTGTCAGAACAACACGCTGAATCCACACCCTTCAGAAAGAGCTATTCTCCTCTGGGTTTAAGTTTACATAATTCCTCCTTTTGTTTTGAGAAGATTAAAGGCCAGGCCCTACCCCACAAATCTCACTAAGGTTGAAGATAAACTTTCTGTGTGTCTTGGTCAGATTTATGCATTTCCTTAGCTCACCAAAGACAAGATGCATTAGAGTTCTCTAGACCTTTATATTCTCATGTATTTCTTCTTCCTCATTTCCAGACTGTATCTTCTCACCTAGATTTGCTGCTAACCTCCTTCAACTATTTTCTTTATTGCTAAATTACTTCCAAATATCTCCTGATTGGTCAGGCATCACGTCTCATAGATATCCTAAATATCTATGGAGCTCCTTGGATTCTGACCCTCTCTCCTGCTTTTGTCACAACATTAGAGTCAGGCTAATGACAAGTCCCAATTGCTGAACACTTATACATTGCCAGGGAGATACCATTACCTCTCATCTTTGTGTGCCTTCTGTGTAGTTCTTGGTTTGTGAATATCCTGTAAGCTCTGTTGAATGATGAGCTGAATATCAAAATCATCATTTATGTCTTCATCACTGGTGTAATTATCCATGTGAAGTGTGGACAGATTTACTTTAAAATCAAAATGAATTAAAAATATTTTCCATTTGTGAAAACAGATTATATGCTGCTTCAAATTACAAATGAAATTCAGAAAACTACAAAATTAATAGGATAAAGAAAATATAAAGTTTAGAAAACAAAATATTCATTAAAAAAAATTTCCCATAAACTTAAAACAGTTTTCTGAACTGCCACAGATTCAACATAAATGAGAAATTTCCACAAGTAGCCATTTACTTAAATCTTATGCAGAAAAAAACAACTTTTCACATAAAATTTAGGTCAGTACCATTGTAAAAATGAAAATGCTCATTTTGATCTATTTTAGACTTGGCTTATGAGTTTTTCTAAGTGACTACAGCACTCATCTAAAACAACATCATTCCTACATACAGTGAGTGTTATGCTGAAAAAATATTTACTTAGCAAATATTAATAATAAAGATGTTATAGGAATACTTGTACTTTCATAATACGATATATAATAGGAATAGTGGTAGTAAAAACCAATATATTTTATTAGGCAATATCTTAATGGTTTTAAAAGAATATTTCAGTTTTAACATAGAATAGGTTTGATTACATACCAAAGACTTCTCGCCTTTTGTTATTACCTTTAGGACAGCATGAAGTTTTCAATGTTGAAGATTAGCACATGAGAATTTTCATTTATATTTAGGATCTCCACTACCTTGTAATCCCCATTCTATTAATAGCTTTACTATAAATACTTGATCATAAGACAGTCTGGCACATTCTCGTTTTTTATATGTGGCTTACCTCTGTTTGGAAACATGATCTCTTTTCACACCTGCTATATTTATCAAATTTAAGGGATGAAACATTTTATTCCTGGAATAAAATCATTTTGTAGGGGATTGTCCATGTGAAGTGAATTCATTCTCTTCAGTCTCATGCACATAGCCACTGCAAATCAGAATCAAGTTTCCACTTGAGAGGCCAAATATTTTACTCTGACCAAATTATCAAAAATGACTGTTCCAATAGTCCTGATTCACTGTGTAGCTGCACCTACATTTTCCTTGGGTCACAAAGCTGCAGCCTGAAGTGTCCTGGGAATTCTAAGGAAGGAATTAACTCCACACAAAGTAACAAAAATTTGACTATAATTTTGTTTTGTTGAAATGTTTTTAAATTGTTAATGTACACGAATATTATGAATGCATACTAAATAAGAAAAATGTTAACTATTAAAAATAATGAGACCACTTGGCATTTCTAATTAAATATGAAGCTAATGCAAGAAGCACAACTCTACCCCACATGTGCGGCATTGCCCTTCAGCCGTCTTATTGTTTTTGCATATCAATTTCACTGCTCTCAGTTTCCTTTCCTAGTCACAGGGGTACTGTGAGAAAAGGAATCAATATTTTTAAAGTATGACATAAGGGGTTTAGTTCTGGAATTGTTGTAATATTTTCCTTATTTACAGTATATTTATTTGTTTATCTAAAATGTTTGTGTATAATCACTTCAGGTAGGTAAGTGGAAAGCAAACTGTTTCTAAAGCTGAAGAAATGACTTAACAATTGTAAAAAGGGATGCTTTCTGATTTCATTAAATTTTATCCAGTTAGTCTCCCCAAATCTGTTTTCACATACACATCCAACTAAAAAAAAAAAAAAAGAAAGAAAGAAAAGTTTTAAAGATTTTTTATATGCTTCAAAGAAACATTTCTTTTACGTTTTCCATTCATAGATGTCTGACTGTGATCTCAAGAGTCCATCTAGAAGGCTGTATTCCAAGCAAGAGTGGTATATCGGGGTGGAGAACAATCCAAAGACCTTTTACAAAGACCATTTAAAAGAGTGACACCAAGATACTTAGTTTTTTACTATATATATTTTGAAGTAAGTGAAAACAATGTATTGTTTACTTCTTTTAGACATTCCTTAAATTTGTCCAACTTAGTCATCCAACTGACAAAGCAAAGCAACCCCACGCTTGATCCAATGTTGAGTGGGGAGGTCCGTTTTTAACAACATTGCAATGACAAAGTTAGTAGAATGTCCTGTAGTAGAAAGAGTTCCTTTACGTTCACTTGTCTTGTAGAGGGGACAGACATAGGCATTCAACTTCACAATCTGAGTCTTTTTAGCTTGAAAGAAAAGAAATATATATTTTTGATAAAGGGAAAACAGTACTGGTACTAAAAGAACAACTACAAATCTTGTAATAAAATGAAAAATACTAAATTTAAGATCATGATTATGAAAATTGAACATTTTAAAGTTTTTTTCACAGTTGGTATATAGTAATTATGGTTATGAAACAAGAAAGTGATTTCATTTGGTTCATGATCCTAGGTCCAAAAGGTATTGCTTTTAAAGTCCTGATCATTTAGCAGGCAAGAAAACAAATCTCAAAAGGCCTTCAGCGAGAAGGAGTAAAAGAAGAAAGTAAGAAAGAAGGAATAACATACAGCATAGGTAATGGGGGAATGGGGACACAAAAAGAGAAACACAGCTGCTTGAGCTCTAATACAAGAAACTCTTAAATTAGAAGAAGTTTAAGTTGCTATTTGTTTTCAGTAGGTTATTACTAAGGAAAACATACCAACTCTTACCTACTCACAAAAAGAATCTATATACAATCCTTGAAAATCCAGATATGAGATATTAGGAGTCTTTGTAAACTAAGGCCATATTTCTCATAGTTATAATTGAACTGCATTAATAATGAAAACATTAAGATTGAGTAGTGATTATGGGTGATTTGTAAATATTTTTATTTATAGTTATTTGAGAATAAAAAAATTAAGAAAATGAAAGAATGAACCTCATTTGTTCATACTTGTGGGAAAATGATGGCGGAAGGAAAGAGCAAGTTGCTTTCCCAAGGGGACAAAATTGGTCTGCATCCCATATGGCTTGCAATGTCTATGCTTTGAGGCACCTGACTGGCCTCTAGGCCTAGGAGTTTCTTACAGCCTGCAAACTCTAGTTGCTAGCTAGAGACTGTGTCAAGCCTATTTGTGTCTCTGAAAAGTGTTCAAAGGCACTTGAGAATCAAAATATTGATGGGAAACTTTAGCCTCTGAAAAGTAGAAGTGTGGGGGAGAAGCAAAGAACATGTTATATCCCATGAGATAAGAGGAAAAAACATAGAACGATATTCCTAAAATAATATAAATGCAATACAAAAGAGGGGGAACAGTGTATTTCCAATGTAAACATTAAGTCACTGTTTATTATAATTGAACAAAATTCTAATAGGTTTGAGCAGAGACTTATTTGGGGAAGCAGTTAAACTATCTATCATTGCCAGCAGCCACCAGAAGCCAGAAGAGGCAAAGAATGAACCTTCCCCTAGAGTCTCTAAATGGCCCGATGATATTAATTTTGGACTTCTGGATTCCAGAACTGGGAAAGAATAAATTTCTGTTTTCTTGAAAACAAACAAACAAAAACTATCATGATCCTCCCTAGAATGCTAAGAAATTTTGTTAGAGAGAGGTATATTTACTTGGTTTTATCCATATGATAGGCATCAGGTCAAACAGAAGTTTGGGATATTGTTCGGCAAGTAATCCACTGTGAAGAGAAATTGACAAATATTTACTAGAAATAATATGAAATTCGCTTCTTAGAAATTGCAACTTAGACATTGGCTTTTAATATAAAAGAGAACCAGAGATGGGCAAGGAAAAAATGCAAAATAAATAAATAAATAACAATGACAACAATCACCACCAAAAAACTCAAGGAAGAAGCAATGAAGAATTGAGAGAAACAAAAGAAAATTATGGAAAGGCTACGTGGACAAACAGTGAACAAGTATCAATTTCTGCCGTTTCTTAAGTACCATCCATAAGGCAGACACTATGCTATAACATTTGACCCTCATGATAATCCTTTCCCCATTCCTATTCCTATTTCATAGATAAAGAGTGGAGGCTCAGAAAGGTTAAGTACTCTTCTCACAGTAACACAGCTCTTAAGCACCAGTGTCGGGATTCAAATATAGATCTGTCTAGAAAATGTGGTTTGTTTTCTCTATGCTATATTACTTGTTTGTTTGTGTATTTGTTTGAAAGAAGGAGAGAAGAAAGGAAGAAAAAGATGGATACATATATAAGAAAAAGTAAGTTAAGAGAAATGTCAGTAGAATGATGAAAAATAAAAGAGAAATAATCAAATGAACTATGCACAGATAAGTCTTCTCATAGCTCTGTCTTAGAATTATCTCTGTAGAACCACCTTCTTGGTCCTTCAGGTTCTTGCTTGAGAGCAAAGTCTAACCCTGACTCTGGACATGGAGGGTTGTGTTTATTAATAGATGGTTGAAGAGCAGGGCTCCAAGGGAAATAGTTTCTCCCCTTCTCTCTTACCCCTATAGATTTTAAACAGGAATAGTTTTGCTTAGTTTCCTAAGCTGGAAATTCAGTATTTGTTTTAAATATTTATTTATTATGTCATCAAAATACAAGAAAAAGTTTTCCATTCACCAGTAGAAATGGACACTTTACTGTAACTGTAAATTGTTTAAAAGTGAGATGCTCTTACATATTATAAAACTAAAGGTAACTGTTATAAAACAGAAAAAACAGGAAAATAATCTCCATTAACTTTTCTCCTAGTAAGACCACTGAAATATTAACTAAAAATTGTTCAGGATCTAAAAATACTCATCAATTGCCCTAGCCTGAGTAATGATTTATGGCAAGAATTCTGTTATTATTTATTACTTCCCATATTCCTTAAAAAAAGCCTTTTGGTTGAGTGAAAAAAAAAAAGGGCAGCAGACAGCTTATCTTACTTATAATTCAGCTACAATTGAAGACGTCTTTGCAGTTAAAACTACTGACCTTTTCCTGTCCCAGCGTGCTCCATCAAGATATAATCCATGGATATAAACACCATCTTCTGGTGCTGTGTCAGATATATCAGAAGGAATAACCTGAAGATAGAGGCACACACTAGTAATGATCTCTTCCCTCGATACTTGTCACAGAAAAAAAACATTAGC